AAGGATTCCACTCTCCAGATTATTATTGGCGGGCATTTATTTGTACTGAATTGAACTTAATTCTCTACAGTCTCAAAAAATATCAAGGCGTTACCCAACATGCTCGAGACCTTAATATAGGTTCACCATCTCACTATGTCCATAAGTCGGCCTTAATAGATATTCAAAGAGAAAACTACAATAATAAGTCCGAATTTTCTTTTACATACATATATAATTAATAAAGCCACATTTAAAAGATGAATAAATGTCGTTACCATAAATAAAGTGGTCTAGTATATATCGTACGGGTAGTGTACGTAGGGTAGGTTAGAAAAGAGAATTGGTCCATCCTCTAATCACAATATAGAAAAAGAGAAAATGGAAAACCACGAGGACTCCATGTGATTAGGGATGGCAAAAAAACCCGAACCGCTAGCTATCCGCGGGTATCCGCTCCGTTTAAAACTCGTTACCCAAACCATTAGGGTTTGGTAATGGTTTTGGTATGGTTCTGGTTTTACCTTTGCGGTCATGGGTACCCGACCATTTAATATATATATATATATATATATATATATATATATATATATATATATATATATATATATATATATATATATATATATATATATTATTTCAACAATATGAATAAAGAAATGGCAAAATTTTAAATATAGTATTAAATAATTTAGGGAGGGTATATTTGTATAATTTACTTTTTTTTCTTTTCTTTTTTTCTTCCTCTTTTCTGTGAGTTACTTAAACGTTATCGGATCTAAAGTTATTTTTTATTACCGTAATTTAAATGGTAAATGGGTACCCGTGGATACCCGGATATTCGTGGTAATGGTTGTGGTATTTTCATCAACTTTTTAAAAGGGTTTGGTACGGTCATGGTTTGAGCTATATTAAATGGTAATGGTTCTGGTATTGCACTTTTTCGAGGGTACCCGCTCCGCTGCCATCCCTACATGTGATTGCTCCCTCCATTAATATTCTTCTTTCATTCTTTTACCCTACACACTACACACAACACACAACTAAATGAGCTTACCTTATTTCTACATACATACATACATACATTCACTTGTGGTTTAAGTCAAGAGGGTGTGGGATTGCATGCACCACAACAATTTTGATTCTAACACGATCGATTGTCGTCTGAGAGTTGCGTATGAACTAATTCATTGTATGTTTGAAACTGACCGGAATATTTAGTGGCAAAACAATATTATTAATAAAAATAATAATAAAATTAATTGGTAATAATGATGCATGGTGGGCAACGACAGTTGTACTATATATGTGGTACTAGGTTGGAAGGTTCTTGGGAATCTTGGAAATAGCCAATGGGAATTTATTTGGATAAGGTGCGCACATTCTTGGCAATTTTTAATTCAATACCCTATTACCACACACCACCGTGGACTCAGGACTTCCATACATTCTAGAGTAACTTTTCTTTCTTTTTTTTTCAAATTAAAATAATCACAGGGTTTTTTTCAATTATACAATGTGAACATAACTAATTTTGTGTCCTTGTATTCATATACATATATTCATTGTCCATATTTATTTTATTTCACACTAGCATCTTTGGTTCAAAATTGCATAATAGAGTTTTGTAGGGGTTGAAAAGTGAAATTTTTGGATAGAACCTATTTATTATTTTTTTATTTTACCAAAAAAAAAAGGGGGAGAGCTGAAATTAATACTTTTATATCTATTTTTATAACCATGTTTTTAATTCTACTGAGCTCATATTTACACCCCTATTGAAAATCATAATGTTAGTTTCATACCCTCTATCTATACCTTACCACTGTAGCACCTAATTAGTAAAATGACAAAGCCAACCCTAAATTTTCATAATCAATGTGGTTGCAGATATTTATTCGTGTGGTGTATAACACAAGTATAAATACTTTTTAATTCCCAAACACATGGTATGTCTAATTCTTCAAATTCCAAATTTGTAGTGCTTCTTAAGACTTGAATTGGTATAGTTCAATATCAAGAGGTGCATAACGTCTACAAAACTCTTTAAATAAAGGGGACCATTTAGTCACGGAGCCAGCATAGGGCCGGCCAGCGGCCATGCCAATAGAAATACTTAATTATATTACGATCCACAAAAACGACCCACTTTTCTACGAATGTATTTGATTTTGAAAATCGAGTCTACCCTGTCGGGGATCTACAATATTGCCTTCTCCTATTCATTATAAATTGAACTCGTCTAGCAGTAAATAGTGGCTGATTTAGGTTCATGGTGGGCTACATAGTAACCGACACAATCGTTTTACATCCTCACTTGGCACTTCTATTACTACACTTCAAATATTTAGTAAATTTTTAGCCAATCATCACCACTAAAATTGGATGTCAGACTATTGAACCATACCAAAAAGACCCTGGTTAAGTTGATTTCAGGGTACAAGGATCATGATATTTGAAGCTACAGGCTTTAAAACTCTTAACCTCGTGTCGTAATAGTCAAAATCACCGTTCTCTTAGCAAATCCTTTTTGTTTTTCTCATCAAAATATGATTCTAATTTTAACCCCAAACTACTAACAAGGATATGAGGTGATAAGAAATGATTTTTTCGTTCATTAACGTCAAATCAAACTTCACCTGAACTGCACGGAACTCTCCCCGCATCCAATGCGGTGTGCCTGTGTAGAAAATCTCTAAACAAGACACAAGAGTATCAGTAGTATTCCTGTAAAAAGAAAGAAAAGGAAAGAAAAGACAGAGGACCCAAAAACTAAACTGGAGAGAATCTCTCCATCATTCATATCATGTCTTGGCTTCATAAAAAAAGGGTTGATAAAAACTTTATTGGGCTATGTTTGTACATATTTATCCTTTGATTGGACCATATTACAGCTCTTGTCGAATTTCCATTGGCCCTTTTCTCACTGAGTATCTCAGAAGATCTTTTGAAAGAATCCCACTTGCACTAACTCCTACATCTCCCCAAATATTATTCATCATTGTACAACACACCACTGTTAAATCCAGCCAATCTTAGTTAGATCTCATTGCTGTCAAGACATTAGATCCACAATCAATTGAGTCATTTTGCCATGTCATCGAACAAATATGCCCGTAGATTTACACTGTAATAATACTCCGTAATTCTCACCCGATGTAGCATCTATAAGACTACATATGCCCGCATCCTTGGCATAGATAGCCTTCATGCTTGGTAACAATACAAACATAGATTTTATTTGACGATATCTTATACATTGATCCCATAATGGAGAAATGAAGTGTGAATGAATGAACAATTAATAATTTTTATTATGTAGAGTTTCCTAGCCTGTTAAAATTTCTACACATTTGCGCTATGGAAAAAAGGTTGATTGTATGAATCAATTACATATACGGAGCCCACCGATACAAGATCTGAAAGCCAAAGAATAGCCTTCTTGGAGCTAAGCAATTCTATAGATTTTCTATCGATCCTCCAACTGCAATTGCGGGCCTCGTTTCAAGATTGCAATAGGCATCTATTAGAACTCAATGCTTAGCACTAGGCCTATAAATTATTAATGTTGGAGAAATACAAAAATACCTACGCTTATCGGGTCGTAACCAATTCTGGATCAAGCCAACGGGCCTGCTAAACCAAGGATCATCGCTGTAACTTTTTGGGCTAAAAAACATGGGTCTATCATTCCAACATATTTCTCTATTTTCAATTCTTGTTATTTTATGATATATTTGATTCGAGATTTTCAGCTGTCGCCTCCCTATATAGTATATATTTAAACTCACCAATCAGCATAGTTCGCTACCTCTGAAGAGCAACCAGCTAATATAAAACACATAAGTGGTAGGTATTGTTGAACTTGTACAACTAACAGCAACATCATGATTCAAACATGAAACTGGATAGAAGGCAGTTTTTCAATTATATGCATTATTAACACGGAAACAATGCTTTGAGATACAAAAAACTATAAGCGAGAAATAAAATATTCTCAAAATGTAATGAAATTATTCTAGATTAACTTAACAGCAAATACTAAAATAAAGTTTAAAAAGAAAACACGTAAAAGCACTGAAGTGTTATGACATTACCAGTTGAATTCACTGGAGAACTGCCAATCTAACTGGAGCTGTTCTTCCTTGCAGCATAGGCTCGATATGCTGCCAACCCAATAAAAGTAGCAGCAGCTCCAACTGTAATATTTAGAAACAAGAGTTAGAACAATCAACTTCACCTGTAGTCAAAGCTGCAGACCGTGTGGATTATGGACCACTATGTTCTTAAGCATGTGCAGGGCTTCAGGGAATGTGTTCACTAACATTAGCATGCATGTTGATTATTGACTTAATAGTTGTTCAAAAGGCCTAACTAAGAATTTTATGTACTTGAGACATGGATTAACACCCAAACCGACCTCAATCACTAACGTACTTTAGTTTATATTTTTCAGATTCTTTTCCTATTTGAGGATACATTAATCGGTGTTTATTCACCATCATATTTTTTTATTTTCCCAAAACTAAACCAAACATTCTTCAAGATCTATAGACATGATTTCTCCACTAAAATACAAACACATATTAATTTATTTCTCAAATTCTTCTTTCCAAAAATATTACTCAAGAAATTCCATTAGTTATACTCAGCATTACTTATTAGAAATGTGTTTTGAAGTACCTGAGAGACACATGAAAGTATTAGAAACAATCTGGCGGTACCGCTTTCTGCTGCGGCTGAGATCAGTTTCAGGAATACTCAGATGAGGGCGCTCAGCTGCATTTACAATTCTGGAGAAGACATCATTCAGATCTCTTTCTTTCACACTTACAGGAATAGGTGCATCCATCCTCATATCCAGGCAAATCTAAAATCGGTGTAGTGAACTCTAATTAGATCATGAATTTAAATTATTATTTTTTCACGTGCAGAAGACCTTCAAAAATTTTATACGAGTTTCAAAAGGTGAAGGAGGCCAAGTACCTTTGCTGAGTCTTTGTTCACTGTTGAATTCGAATCAAGATCATTCTTTGCTGCAATAAGGAGACAAGGCATCCCAACACCAGTTTCTTCCCCTTGCCTAGCCACATTCGAAAGCAATTCTATTGCCGCTTTAAGAGAATGCTCGCTTGAGCTGGAAAAAAAGTTAAAAATCAATGCAACCATGTGAGAGGAGGCACCTAATGAATCGTGATTTCACCACTGGAATATAGGAGATTGTAAGGAATTAAATCGGTGATTAAATAAGTTTGAAAACCCTAGGCCTGCCTACCTGTCGTAAACAAAAACAGCTACATCAGAAGCAGCCAAAGATTCCTTATCGGATAAAAGTTTCTGAACTCCATCTTCTGGAATCTCCCGAAGTATAAGTGTTTTCTTATTACCCTGAAATTGGAACAGGCAGAGTAATAGCATCACATTTAAATATTTTAGCAGACAACAGAAAGCCATTAACCTCAATTTACAAACCACTTCACAATTTACAAACCACTCACTTGAAACACTTTACATCTTTCAACCACCCATATAGAGGGTAAGGGAGATTATATCTATTATTTTTCACTTAGTACTCACCTTATACTGGTCAACGATATTCACCACATATTGTTCACCGATTGTAGGAATATAGTTTTCAGAAAAAGGCCTGCAATTAGGAGAAATAACAAAAGTTTCTCATTCATATCCGTAATAAGAAAAAGGCAAAAGGACGACATGGTTCATACAGTTCTAAAAGAGCCTACAGAGACAAACAATTAATATTTGACCCCGGTAAACTTGTGGTTTTGCATATATAGATTGAAACTTGAGATTCTTACTTTCCCAATAATGACATCAACAATGCAGACTTTCCAGCTCTTTTAGGCCCAAAAACCAAACACTGGAAAACGTTTCTTTCTGTATGTTGCTTCTTCCTGTCCACTGTTCTTCTCCTAGTTATGTTGAGGGCTGATTCTGCATTGCAGTTATGACCAACATATATTAAGTTGGCGATACTTTGAGCTGGGTCGAGTGATGTCATAAGAGCCCACTGCAATACAAGAACAAATGAGACGGAAGTAACAAAAGTTCACGAAGATCATGGTTACTGAAAGAGAATACTCGAGTGATGCTTTTCATTGGAGGGACAACTTGAGGACAAAAATGATAAATGAAACAAGAACTCGATGAACACATGGAGAAAATTTCATGTTATAACAAGTTTAAAATAAGATTTTAGCAATGAAACGTAGCATGTTTGCCACAATGCAAGCAAATCATGATTATTCAGCACTAAGATATTCTAGTGATACCTTGGCCAGTCACCTGCATCAGAAAACAACCATTGTCAAGACTTAAATTATTCACGCATCACGCAACAGTAAAAAGAAGAAACTTCCTATTATTTAAGCTTTGCGGCGGACTTCTGATCTTGCATATTAGACTAAAGGAATGGTAAAAAAAACATGTAATAAACATGCAGCAAATATTACCAAACAGGCAATCTGGCATACCCACCTCTGATAGAAATCCAGAAAGAGATAACCCACGCCATGGAGTTCTCTCCACTGCATCCCTGTAAGGAACTTCATCCCAGGGACTGAATTTACATCATGAACACCAAGTCAGATATTATTAGGGAGGCAACAGAAGAGTAACAAAAAATTGTGATGGAAAACATACACAGGAAATGCCATAATTGAAGTGCAGCATATCATGGAGAAAAAATAGCGGAGGCCACATTTTATAGAGACTATTATAGATAATTAGGCATCTTGGAGTAATTCAAATATTCATATCAAAGTCACAAGGTTTTTATTGTATTTAATGAACAAGTCAGGAAGCGCTGCGAAATCCACAGCCATGCAGATAAAAGTATTTGCGAGGAGGGTCAGAGCAATTACTTTGTTCTGGACATACACACAAGCAAAGAACAACTCAACCATAGAAAATTAATGTGACGCCTTATTTTAGAAAAGCAACAGAGAGGAACTGATGAATTGCACAAGAAAATACTGTGATCAACTTATCACCAGCCCATATAGGAAAATTCAATCACATACAGTCACGATCCATTACCCCACAAAACCCATAGACACGAAGCCGAAACTTCCTAAATTATTTTTAACTTAAGAGATTAATTCAGAACTCAACAAGAACGCACATGGTTTTTACAGTCTTTAGATTGATCTAATATCCAAAAATGAAACAGCTTATCCATGCTTACAAAAAATCCTAAATATGGTAGCACAAAAATGACAGCATTCTGCAGAAACAAATCTACCTCTCTGGTGCAGTTGAAAACAGATCTTCAAGCTCACTCTCACGAAGAACTTCATCCTATAAAATCACAAAGGTTAGGCTCACAAGAGAAGGCAAAATGCCTATTTGTACAAGATCTAGCTCTCTTTTTATTCAGAGTCCAAACGTACTTTATCATCATCGAATGTGCTGAAGATTCCCTTTAAAAACTCTATTGCTTCACTTGTCAGTTCAACACTCTGCAAGGATGGTATAGAAGCTTTAGAAGGACAAGCACGAACTCATATAAAAGTATTGAAAGAAACAATCCTTTGATACTAGCAGAAAGAAACAACTGGATGCTAATAATAATAATAAGTGCCTAAGTCAAATAATTTTAGGAAGTAATAGATCATTAGCCAATTGACAGCTCATATACCTAATACCATTTATTAACTTCCTAGTTCCTAGATTAGACACTGATAATGATAAAGATAATGGAACACATATCATGAAGGAAACCCCTCTACGGAGTTTTAGGATAAGAACTCTTGTGTGCAAAGTTGAGTTCTCTAAGAATTATTAACAAGAACTCAGGATCATTTTGTTTCCGAGTAATTATTAAATTTGTTAATAACTGAAGAGACGCTTTGCTGCAAGAATCACCTGGTCTGGAGCCTTTTTGTTCGGAATTGACAAATAATCATCCCTAAGTTTTAGCTCGTCATTGTACCCAAATTTTCTCAGAACAGTCCATGTGGTCTCAATCCTGCCTTTCTCTATGAAAAGAGCATGAAGAAACAGAAAACCTGTCAAGGTAAGACCAAATTCATTAACTCCTTCATGCAACTTCTCCTGTACCACTCGCTTAACACCCACTATTTCAGCAGGTTGCAGAGGAGCATTGAAACACTTAACCTGCTCACCAGAAACAAAAGTTTAATGTTCAAAAAATCAGCAATAATTACATTTCACAGTATGAGGAATCTTCGACGGAGATGACATAGAGGACAAAAAATATATATTTCTTGAACTTTCAAATAAAATTTAAAGCATAGAACAAAGAAAACAACCTGAAATTCATTTAGCTCTTCGTCATTGAGAGCACCATCCATATCATGATCACATAGAATGAATATCCTCTTCAGCGCTCTCACGCATCGAGGTTTTAAAGCTTGGGTTTCTTGATCAAACAACGGAGCAGTTGGGTGAAGTACAGCCTTTTGAGCAAAATAAAATACTTCTTGAACCTGCAAACGATTTAAAACAGTTGCAATCAACTGTATATTCTCGTTCAAGTTGAAAAATAACGAGTAAATCACAATCGATTAGAGTGAACTGGTTATCCAGTATCGCAAACCTGGAGCATGTTAGCGGCAGAACATTCTATACAAGTCTCAATCTCTCGAAACTGCTGCATAAGCGGCAACATTTCAACGCTCAAATTGTACTCCGCATCTCGCCTATCAAGCTTGCAACCAGCCACAATCACCGGTGCCCTAATCTAAAAACCGCAATTGACAAGGCATAATCGAGTGCACATACAATAATAACAAACACCAGTACAATGATAATCAATTTTTCTCAGCATGTATCAGTTGCAAATGCATGGTATAAACCCATAGCTGGTCAGGTACAGTCATCTCGATTCGAAAAGCACGAAACATATAGAAAAGGACTGAAAAAGTGAATTAAGCTACTCAATATGAGGCAGCATCTAAAATCTTGATCGAGGTCGAAAATTAGTGAAACCACACAAACATTTTCTCATCAGTTGCTTCTGAATTGCAGCTCAGTAAAGTTAACAACTAGATGATATATCTAGAGACAGTTGCGCTAACTCACATTCCCAATTCCCATTAATTAAATATTGCTTGCGACTAATGCATCATTCTCCATAGCAGATCAAACAAAATAGCAAGCTCAGTAAGAAATTCAAACTAGTTTTGAACAATGTGTAGTTTGGTTTCATTTTGATTCCTTTGACTTCTCGAATGAGAATAACCTCAGCTGGAAGCAAGTACATGGGGATCATTTAATTGCTAGTAAATCAAACTAGAAAAAGAAGAAGTAAACAGACAATAATAATAGAGATCCAATTAAACACCTGTAAATCAATACTTCAGCGAACAACATTAAAGTAATAATGATTAACACATCACATAATCAACAACAAAACCTAAACAACTGGCTAACCTCTAATCGCCGAAGCTCGTGAAGCCAGAAAGAACTGAGGCGATTAAGTGTCGCAGGCTGATCGCATGCATATGTCAACACGACCGCATCGGCACGCTTCAACTCTTCAGCGAGCCTTCCTCTGTTCTCCAAACTGCATACACAAACTAATCCATAAGAAGAAAGAAGAGAGAGGAGAGAGAAAAATAATACACACATCCTACTCCATCAACAAATGCATAAACACAAAATCGAAACAGAGCAGGCGCAGATTGTACACCTGGATGAGGTGTCGATGATGACGATGGGGGTATTTTCGGGATAAAAGTCGGCGGGGAGGCGAGTGGGAGGGAGAAGGGGAGGGACATCCGGCCGGAAAGTCTCGGCGGCCGCCGCTGCGATGAGGCTGGATTTACCGGTTCCACGATCCCCGACGACGACGATCCGGACGCTGGTTCGAGCGCCGGAAATTGGACCGCCGGACAGCATTGATTCGAGATTTTTGTGTGAGCCGAATTTGCTGATTGGGGGTTTTCGTGCGGTTGATGAAGAGATGAAAAGGACGAGTCAGACACTAATCAATGAATTCATGAAATAATTATCCTTCTATTTACAGGATTGAAATCAGTAATTAATTATTATTTTATCTGAAGTATATATGATGTGTCTTGGGGAAGAAGTAGGAGGCAAGTCTAACTACAGTTAATGTGATAATTGATGAATGGTAAACTGAACTTCTTTCCTTTTTTACTGCCCTGCCACGTCAATATTTCCTTTTATTCGATGGTAATTTTTTTACTCATTGGGCTCGTATTGGTATGATTTATTGGGCTGGATACACTGCAAATCATATCTTTAACTTGAATTGAATTATACTAACATCCTTATTTACCACTATACTTCAATATTAAATAAATTGATGAAATCGAATTATATTAACGATATAGATATGGGCCAATTGCTTAAGGGTGACAGGTAAAATTAAATGAAATGTAAGCCCAATGTATATTTTTAAGCCCACAATTGAAAACTAGTTCACATTCCGTTTCCCGATTAGTGTATTCCGTAAAAAATTGAAAAATGTTGCCCCGTATTCTTCGAACATCCGTCGCCGCCGCGCGCCGATTGTCGACGAGGACGGCGGTGGTGGCGTCTCCTGCGCAGGATACGCTTTCAGAAGAGGGGAAATATGCCTCCGGGAATAATAACTCTACCTCCGGTACCGGCGGAGACACGCTGGGGCGGCGGCTTTTCGCTCTGGTGTACAAGAAGCGGAGCGCCGTCGTCGCCGTACGGAAGTGGAAGGAGGAGGGGCACGTCGTACGGAAGTACGAGCTCAATCGCATCGTCCGCGAGCTCCGGAAGCTTAAGCGCTACAAACACGCTCTCGAGGTTGTACATCTGCTTATACTTCTACTTCCCATTTTTGCATTTTAAATGTTAGGTTTAAATCTGCTTTTGTTTTCGCCTAATTTTACAAATGCTTTAGAAATAGTATTATGAGCAAAAAAATATATCACTAAAGGGGGAAATATGTGCATATTTCAGAAGATAAAAAATAAACTGGTAAGTAATTATAGATTTTGCCGTGGTGTTTAGTAATTATCTCTCTGGCACAATGCTTAGTTACTTTTGTATTCAATCTATTTGTTAATTCTCGAACAAGATCGGAAATGCTGTAATGGAGATTGAGGAGATAACAAGCTATTAGCTATTTTACAATGAGTCCTGTAAATACTCTTGCTACACATTCTAAGCTTGTGATAATATTCGAGTTTTTTTTTTTTTTTTCCTTAGATTTGTGAATGGATGATGACTCAGGAAGATATGAAGCTAGTGTCTGGGGATTATGCTGTGCACCTGGATTTAATTGCTAAAATCCGGGGTTTAGATAGTGCAGAGAAGTTCTTTCTTGATCTCCCCGAAAAAACGAGAGACTCCGCAACTTGCAGCGCCCTTCTCCACACCTATGTCCGTCACAACGAGTCCGGAAAGGCCGAAGCTCTGATGGAGAAGATGTCCGACTGTGGTTTCCTGACAAGCCCTCTTCCTTACAACCACATGCTGTCTATATATGTCTCCACGGGGCAGTTGACTAAGGTTCCGGAAATGATTAAGAGGCTGAAGAAGACAACTTCCCCAGATGTCGTCACGTACAATCTGTGGCTGTCTGCATGCGCATCTCAAAATTTCGTCGAAAGTGCTGAAAAGGTGTTTCTGGAATTAACCAAGGCTAAAATAGAACCCGATTGGGTCACGTACAGCACATTGACCAGCATGTACATCAAGAATTCGTTGAAGGAAAAAGCGGAGTCTTCTTTGAAGGAGATGGAGAAGAGGGTCTCTAAGAAAGTTCGAGTGGCTTATTCATCTCTGTTGAGTTTGCACACTGCTATGGAAAATAAGAACGAGATTCGACGGATATGGAAGAAGATGAAGTCCACTTATCGAAAAATGAGCGATGCTGAGTACACTTGCATGATTTCTTGCTTACTCAAACTCAAGGAAGTCGACGAAGCTGAGAAGCTGTATAACGAATGGGAGTCTATTTCTCCGACTAAAGATACTAGGGTTCCGAATTTGCTTCTCTCTTCTTACATCAGTAATAACGGAATGGATAAGGCTGAGGCTTTTTATAATCGGATGGTGGAGAATGATTTAGTACCAGGGTATACCACGTGGGAGCTTCTTACATGGGGTTATTTGAAACAAAGGGATTTGGATAGGGTTCTCGATTGTTTTAAGAAAGCTATTAGTAGTGTAAGAAAATGGGATCCCGACGAAAAGCTGGTGCATGAAGTGTTTACGCTTGTCGAAGAGTTGGGCAATGTTGAGGTAGCTGAAGAGTTGGTTGTGATTCTTCGGGGGGTTGGGTATGTAAACACGGAGACGTATAAGTATCTTATACGTACTTACGCAAAAGCTGGTAAGATGCCACTTATTGTCGAGGAGAGGATGAAGAAGGATAATGTGGCGATGGACGAGGAAATCAAGAAACTCGTTTTGCAAACGAGTAAAATGTGTATCGGTGAAATTCCAAGTGGTATTTAGAAGCAAAATCGATGATCGGTTTCTTGAAAATGATTTTGTTTTTTAAATATCACAACGGTAGTGTATGATTTTGTTTCTGAATATTACTATTTACAACTTTTTTGTTTGTGAGTTTTGAATATTACAGCCTTGGTGAGTTTTGTTATAAACAATGGTGAAATAGAATGTTTTAGCAGGTGAGGCAAGTTCTGGTGGTTTTGTTATAGTATTTAAAATTATTATTTTTAAATAATATATTTTTTCAAATTTAAAATATCGCTTTCAAATCCAAGATTATTATACAATATACTCATAATATTGTATTCAAAACAAAAAATTAAAATGATCACTAGCTTCCTATTTGAACCAAAAAAATATTGATTACACCCGTACATATTTTACAGAATTACACGCGTACGTGTATGTGATTACGTGCATATCTACGTATAGTTCTCGATTTTAAATGAGGTCAACTTTCCTAAATCAAAACATGTACTTAGTCAAAGGTGTATAGGCAAGGTTGGTGTGGTGGTTAATGTCTTAATGATGAGAAACATACAAAGATTAGTCCCCTCTTCGTGTTGTTGAATTAATTAGGTAGGGATTACTGATTGCATACGTGCACCATAACTTAATCTCTTCCAATTCCATTTAATTCCGAACACAAAATTATTTTAATGGCAATTATTTATTGCCAGACGAAAATAAAATACTAGGTAGTTTACTTTTATGTAATAAGAAATATTAGTTGGTTTATTATTTTGGGACAAAGAAACCTTAGGTGAAGAATAACTTCAACAACCTGCGGGAGGAGAGGAGGGGTTCACCCAACCCAACCCAACCTATCCACGTCCCACGTTTGCCCAATTATATGAGTTTTGTTCTTGTGAATTTACTTTTATACCCCTGGTCACCTCTTAGATGGAAAATATCGAAAAATGTTAGTGTCCTAATTATTTAATTAATTATTTATTTGTAACGAACTCGCAACCAATCGTATATGCGTACTGGATAAACTTACACTTTTATAAAATAGTTTGTAAATCATACAAAATACGTAAACCACACTGGGCTTACCATTTGTGAAAAGCTTAGTTAGTGTCCTAATTAAGATATAAAGGTGGATGGTTTTATTATGATTCGTCATCTCGTATAAATTCGAATGCCGTCATAATTTAAACACACTTGAGTTCGATAAAACGTTCTGATCAAACAATCATAATAATTTGTCTTTTCGAGATAGATCCTAAATTTGAAAGTAGAACTTGCCTTCTAGGATAAGATTTATCTTTCGTTGGATTCGAATATACGGTACTTTTGATAATAAACTCCTTACGATATATATTTATCGTCACTTACTTATAACTCGGAGATTAACGATCGTGGCTCGAAAAAGAAAATAACCAAATTGAATGTTTAAATTTTAGATTATTAAACAATCAAAACACTATCAAGACATCTTAATGATTTTGAAAAAGGAAATTAGAAATTCCGATGACCTGATTTGTTTCACACTCATATTACTAAGATAATTTCTCATTTAGAATATTGGAGATCCTATTAATTTAATTATTTTTCTAAAAAAAACTCCAATTAATTATATACTTAACATCGAGATCCTTTCAAAGTTTACAGAAGAAATAATTTTAATATTACGAATAGTGCCATTTATGAATTCATAATTTTCTATGTTATATTTTACTGTACACAAATCCTAAAGAAAAAAAAGTCAATTATAAATTCAAATTTAGGATCCGACCAAATCTGCCTGAAAAAGCAAGACTATAATTTAAGAGTGCAATTAATTGTCCAAAAAACCCGATTTAAATTCACAATTAAAGGCAAAAAGTTAAATTGCAACAACCCAGAAATGAGAGAGTAAATGAATACGAAGGTAGAGCACGAAACAATTGACATACGTAATTAAGATTACATCAAGGGCAAGACTGATAATTAATAATTGCAAATCCAGTTTTATCCCATTAATTAACACATAATCCACCACCCCCCACCCACCCCCACTACCCACCCACCCAAACCCCAACCCCCGGTTTGTAAGTATATATAACTAGTTATGTTGCAGGTTTAAATTAAGTTGGAACTGTGAATTATAAAAAAATATATATATTGTTCACAACTAGAAATCACCCACCGTTTCTCTCTCTCTCTAGATTGTTCGATAATCGGGTGTGAGATGGCGCACAATGGTTACGATGGACTCGAGCATGGAGTGTTGAACTGGCTTCCTCCACAACATGCACCCGTTGGCCGTGGCTATAATAAGCAGCAGACAAAGGTAAATACTAAATAATATGTTTCCTCCTTGTGTACCCGGCCTACGCTTTGTTGTTTGTACGTAATCAAAATGTACAAGTTTTTAATGCGCGCCCGTATTTCTTCTTCTTACGTATTATAAGCAGGAGCAGCAGTTTGGAGTTGGGGTGCGTCGGCATGGGATAAAATCTCCGCCGTCTGCTGAAGAAATGATGGTACTAATTTTAATTTACAGTAAAAACTTACGTTTTCTCATTTTATGGTATCTTATTTTGGCCGGCGACGGCCACGGCGGCGGGTGGCGGAGACGGTGCCTGGTTTTAATTTGTTAATTAATTTAATTATGATGTTTATTAATTGAATCTTTTTATAATATATAGTTTCAGCAGGGACAAACGAGACGTAGAGCAAGAAACCAGGCGAATTGGGCCTCAAGTGGGCCCGGAATGCAGGCAATATTTTTGGGCTCGAACCCAAAAACTTCTGGCACTGGGGTTTTTATTCCCCGGAAGGATGGTGCTGAATTCAGCAATAAGCCTGGTATGTATGCAATTTTTTAATTTTTTTTTAATTATGTACTTCAAATTCGATTTTTTAAATGTAGAAAAAAAAATTAGAATCTGAATGATTTATATTGGAATTTGGAGAATCAAATAATCATGTTAATTTTATTATTAATATTATTTAGAAAATTATGATTTGCATAATTTTTTTTTTTATATTTTCTGCTTTGACCTAATAAATATGTTCTACAAACTCTGTGTGTAAATTGTAATTTTAGTTCTGTAAGTATAGTAGTCGTAGCATTTTACTTCATGTCAAAATTTTTTTACAGATAATCGAGTAATCTTTCGAGTATGACTAATTTGTATAAAACAAAAAAAAAATGAGATATTCCTAAATTAGAAGCAACCACGTGTACGTTCTCCCGCGACCGATTTTTTTTTTTTTAATTTTGGCGGTGATATATATATTATGATTAAACTTGCCAAAAAAAAAACATTAAGGATGATGTTGCCATCCTAAATTAATATCTATATATATTTACAAGATCAAAAGTATTATATATTTATTTTTTTTCGATTCTTTTTGCAATGCTTTTATATCTTTTGCATTAATCGATCTCATTTGAATAGTTTGAGTTTAAACGTTGTTATTAATGCTCGAATGTGCCGTTGACTGTCGAATGTCGATATATAGGTCTCTTGTCGAACATACAGGTATCACTACTTGTATATATATTATTAGGGAATGAGATATACCACAATTTATTACAAGATTCTATATAATTGCCAATAATAATATTTCTTCATATAGTTTAAATGATAACAGTAATAATAATAATATTTCATCGACCTTTATTTATTAATTTTTTTAGTTGGAATTGATATAAAATATGCATTTAATTATCTCTTTGTTTTATTGTCCAGCTTTCTCTCCAGTTTTGCTGCCTTCTCGAGTGGTTCAGGCCCTCAATCTCAACGTGCATGAGCTTGGCCAACCTATTAAATCTAAACCAGGTTAATTATTTTATTACACCTATACATACATTATATATATAATTTATGTCTTGAGAAATAAAACGAATTAATGCTGATCGGCAACGATGGATTACATTTTTGTGTGCAGAACCTCACAAAGATACGGTGAGAAAAACCGAAGAAAATATAGAGGTGGATGATGAGGCCGACGTCATTTGTGTTTCGCCAGATATTTATCTCCCTAAAGAATGGACTTATTAATTAGCCAGCAGCCAGCTTTAAAAACAATAATAATAGGGTGCGATCCAGAATAATATCAAAATTTATTTCTTAGAAATATTATAACTAGTCCCTGGATTGCACTCTATTTGCTAACTGCTCGCGCCATTAATAATTAATTTCTTATCGTTTTTATGTTTTTTCAATAAGAACACCACCATCCATATATGTCGTCAGACCATTAGTTTATTTCAATTTTACATGATTCGAATGAAGTGTTTTTTTTTTCCTTCTTCTCGTATATTATATATTTTCCCGAATGAATTTCTTTTTAATCTAGTGCAATTATTGCCATTAATTCAGTCATTTGCAAATGATTATTTAAAAGCAGAAGTTAGTGATTGTGATTTAAGTTAGTTTTAAGTGCTTATTTCTAAAAGTTGGGGGTGTTTGCAAATATTTCGGAAAATGAACTAAAATTGAAAAAACAGGGTTAGGGGTGCTTTTAAAAAAATAGCTTAAACCAGATTATTTTAAGAGAAGCAAAAGCAAAAGTTGATTTTGCAAACACCTAAAAACAGATTATGAGCAAAAAAAACCGCATAATCACTTTTAAAAAGCATTTGCAAACACCACCTTGGTGAACTTCGTCGAGTTATGTTCTACGTAATTTTGTGAAGATTGTACACAAAACACGTACTATATATATAATATTAGGTAGATGTTAATTCTTCCCGTTTATAGATTTTAGTTGAACAATATGCTAGACGTTATACTTCCATGAACCGTCAAAACTGGTGGCTCTTCCGCTTCTAAACGGGCACGGGTGGGCCCCACCCAAAATCGTTACCGTTGTGAACGTTAAATCTCATAGAGTTTGTGATTCCCGTGGACCACAAATTCGGGTTTCTCGATTCAGCCCATGTAAAATTCCTTCACTTTGTCAGCCCCATTACAAGTATCCACCACTCTATTTATCTGCCAAGCGGCCCAGCCCGGCCCGTTTTGCAGTCGTTGAATATTATATAGTACGTTGAAATCATGTAATTATTACTATTTAATGTTGTGGTAATTTGATAACACAGAGCAAACTAAATCAATGATCTAAACTCAAATACTACTTATAGTTTCACGAAAGCACTTTGTTTCGTTTCCAGAAAAATCTACTTTTTTACCTGATTCTTATTCACTCACTACTAGAAAATTGCTATTTAGTGACGGACAGATTCGTTGCTACATAGACCAAATTCGTCGCTGATGACAATTTAGCGACAGATGAAACCCGTAACTAAATCCGTAGATAAACGCCGCGTCGCTAATTTTAGCTACGCCGGCATATAATCCGTCGCAAAGTTTAGCAACGGAGACATCCGTCGTACTGTCCGTTGCAACAATTGCGATTTGTTTGACAAACATTTCGTCACAATATCCGTCGCTAGGATTGTAGCAAAAATTTCATCACCAAATCTGTTGCTAGTTCCGTTGCAAAATTCATCGCAAAATTTGTAATAATTTGAAAAAAATATTAAATATACAAATCCCACATTTTAATATTATTTTCAGTATATTATATAGCAACAATTGAATCCACAAAACAAACACCACACTTTTCCAATTAACATAAAATTAAATTAAAAACAGAAAGAAAATTTTCTTTTTACCATTGATAGAATCAATAATTACAATATCCATAACTTACAAAATTGCATTTTTGATAAATTTAATTTTGTCCAACATCAGTAATAAAAAACCATCCAAACAATTTCATAATTGTAGCAGAATAATGTTGCTTCACCAGTTTTCCACTTATCTTCTGCTACAACCTTGGAGATATATTTTGGAGCCATTCACATCCATCTAGTAGCACCTCAATAAAATATATTGGACTTCTCCCTATTCAAACAAAGAAAACACAAATAATTATAATTAGAAATATACATTTTTCACCTCCTACATCAAATCCACTAGCACTAGCAGTAAACTACTAATACAGGACACAAATATGAACATTCTCATGAATGATTACCTTTTGATCATGCATAGACTACTGACTGAACAAATTCTACACGTTGCCTGGTAATTCATTGAAAATCAGTTGACAAGACCTGTGTTTTTTACTTGTCAAAGTCAAATACCAGAAATAATCTACGTCATGATTAAGATTTACAAGTAAAATAATATGCTTAAGCCACCTCAATGCCAACAGTCTGAAATAAAGCTGGGAAGTGTGAGACCTTGTGTTAACCAGGTTTGCAAAGATTGACAAGAAATTCTAAAATAAAAATAATCAGTACCTAGTTAGGCAAGCTGTGGAATTGACAGCTAAAATATTTAATGCAGCAGCAAATCAAACACAATGATCAAGGAACCTCTGCAAGCACAATACCAACTATAATAACAATATAAGAAAACTACGGTAAACGAATGTCATACATGGTAAAAGTATGTAAAGTGCCCAAGAAACCACTTTAATCAGAACGACATAAACTAATTGCTATACTTAGTAGTAAGTTATAAAAGTATATAAAACATAACATACCTCATAAGCTCATCTATCGCAGAATATCAAAATCTAGCATGCCTGCAAAGTAACAATATGCATATCATTAATAGACATGATTGAACTCAAACACACCAAGATATAAACAAACCTGCAGTAGATATAAAAAACTATAATAGGACAATGAGCAATCAACGTAAGTGAATCATATTATGTTTGAATCCAATACCTATACATGATTAACCATAAGAATTTCAATATCTGAATAAAATTTGATTAGTACATAAAGATACAATCAAGACCGGTAAACTCTTCTAATTTTTTAATAAATTCTTGAATCAACATAATCGACAGTAGTAAACCGGAAAATAAATAATAAAAGAACATAAAAAAATGCATAAATACAATAACAACAAAAAAGACTAAAAGAGAACTTCTAGTTTAAGGTTGGGACATAGTACATGTGCACATGCTAGCTAACAAGTCTACATAAGTCCTTTATTAAACATCATTGGTTCTTCTAACATCTGTTATCTATCTTCAATGTGTGCCAAGGTGTACACTTCCTATTAGTATCAGAAGGTTGTACACTATGAGATCTGATAGTTGAGAATTGTTGATCTACTGCTATGCTATTCTAAAGCAAGGACAATAGTGAAAAATACATATCAGCACAACCACCACCAGTTCAAAGAGTTATTCGAATTCCAACACATGGAACACTCAAAATCCATATTTATTGATCACATTTCCAAAATCAATAAAATTGGAAAATAATTTTAGGAAAGATTGAACTTTCTTCAATATCATCCACTAGAAAAAATTGAAGTCTGAAAACCATCACGATTAATGGCATATAAGCAAACAATTTCTAAAACATAAACACATCAAATAATCTAGCATATTACAAAAACTACGCAAAATTTTGCAAGGGGCGAAAATCGAGGGGTTGTAGCAGCAGCCCAAATACTCAAGAAATTAGGTTTTTTATCTTACAGAACACTAAACACATAGAAACCACATAAAAACCTAATTCATAAATATTAAGCAAAATGAATTTATCTAACCAAAATTAGGGCTATTTCAGATGTGAACACCTTTAACGACGAACAACTGCAGTCGCAACGACTGTGGCTGGTGGGAAATAAGAAGGCGTCCGAATATGGAAATTGGAAATCGGCGAACAGTCCCATATAACAGCAATTGGAAATCGGCGACCACATGACGAATCGAGTGAGACAGCAAGATACGAGGACCGAGGCTGGCAAAGGGCTGAAGCGAGATTAGATTGGAAAGGGGTTGAGCAAAAAAATAAGATTGGAAAGGGGAGGATAGGGAACTGGAAAAGGGATGAAGACTTGTATGAAGAGTCGAGATAAATTAAATACTTTTAATAAATAAATCATAATAACTAACATAAATTTATTATTAGCAACGGATCGATCGTTAGTTGCTGAAGATGTTGCTACACAATTATTTTAGAAACGGATTTGTCATCTGTCACTAATGGCCATCGCTATACCTGACGTTTCATTAGAAAAGGGACAAATATGTCGTCCATCGCTAATTCTCTCGCAAAGTATCCTTTTTAGAAACAAATCTGCTATCCGTCGCTAACATCCGTAGCTAAATCTCAATTTTCTAGTAGTGACTTGTAGCAATAACTGCATTGAACAATAAAAATAAATAATGACGACTGCAAATGTAATGCACACGTACTTTATATTGTTTGTTGAAACATCGTATATAATTGTTAGACGTCGCTCTCTCCTTATTTCGTTTTCGTGCAATAAGAAGTATATGGTGTGTAATAAATAATAATAACATTTTAAACAAATAGTTTTTATTTTTATTTTTTTTAAATAGATTAAAAAGAACACGGCTAGCTAGCTTTCCCGGTTATAAATAAGAAGGAAGAGGAATCGTTCATTTCATGCGATCACACAAAAAAGAAAAAAAAAAAAAATGTCTCAAGAACACAGTTCGAGAATAAAAATAATATCAACGTGCAAGATCAAAGTGGCATCTGAATCAACGGCTAGGATCAACTTGACTGCATGGGATCTCGGGCTTCTATTTCTCGAATACAGTCAAAAGGGCCTTCTCTTCCGCAAGCCCAGCCCGCACCAAGAAACCAGGACCTTAATCCACCACCTCAAATCATCCCTCCAACGCACGCTCCACTTCTTTCCCCCACTCGCCGGCCGCCTCTTAACCACCACATCCGACGACGGCGCCGCCACTACCTTCTTCATCGACTGCAGCAGCAACAACATTGAAGGAGGCGCACTTTTCGTCCATGCAAAAGTTGAAGACGCGAATTTCGGTGTTGCCGATGTACTCGGCTCATCAACTAATTATTACGTTCCCGAAATTGTTGGGTCTTTCTTCCCGCTCACCGGAGTTCGGAACCACGGCGGCGTTACTCAGCCGCTGATGGCGGTTCAGGTGACTGAGCTGGCGGATGGATTGTTCGTGGGGTGCAGCATTAATCACTTGTTAGTTGACGGCACTTCTTTCTGGCATTTCTTCAATTCCTGGGCTCAGATTTCCCGGGGAGATAATATTAATCCAATTTCCAAACCACCGATTCTGAATCGAGATCAAATTAATCTCGATTTATCCGGCTCCGGCAGCATCTATATCCATGATAAACATCTCATTCACCTGCCCAATAATAATAATAATAATAATAATAATAATAATCAAGGTACAGTATATATATTTAGAACCCTAATTAAAATCCCCAATTTGAATACTTTGATAATTAATTAATTAATCCAATTTCTGCAGCTGAATCGCGGCGAAGACAAGTATTGAAGGACAGAATCTTTCACCTGAGCAAAGAGAGTGTAGCGAAGCTCAAACGAAGAGCCAACGAAGAAATGGGGGAAATTAGTAAAGGCAAAATCTCATCTCTGCAAGCAATCGTAGCCCACGTATGGCGGTGCATCATACGGTGTCGTTTCGCGATGGACGATTGTGAAGAAACGACGACGTTTGAGGTACCAATGGGGGCGAGGCAGAGGATGGAGCCACCTCTCCCAGAAGAATACTTCGGGAACGCGGTTTTTCCGGGGATTGTGACGGTGGAAACTTCGAAGTTACTGGAGAACGGGCTGGGCTGGGCCGCGTGGCAGATAAATAGGATGGTGGGTTCTGGAAACGGGCCGGGTAAAGTGAAGGAGCTTTACACGGGCTGGATTAAAGAGCCCGTATTTCTGCAATTTGAAGGGCTACCGAGGAATTCTTTTATACTGATAAATTCTCCGAGATTTGACGTTTATGACGGTAACGATTTCGGGTGGGGGAAGCCGGTGGCGGTTAGAAGCGGAAAGGCTAGTAGCTCTGACGGAAGGATAACGGTTACTCGAGGGGTGGGAGAAGGGAGTGTGGATATTGAGGCGTGTTTGGCTCCTGAAACTTTGTCTGCCATGGCGGATGACTCGGAGTTCATGGAGTACGTTAAATAACATGGAAATGCTTGCACCATGCACCAAAATGCGAAATCTCTTGCCCCAGAGACTCCATTCCTTGCCCTACAAGGATTGATGGAGAATAACATGAAAATGCGTATGCTAATCATGAGTTGCTTAATTAATTGCTTTAAGTTTTTTTTTTTTTTTTCGAGTATTCAATCGTACGAATAACGATCTTCATATAGTTTATGTTTAAGATCTTTTAAAAATAATATAATTACGGTCAACCCCTCATTTAAGTTTTAATTATAAAAAATCCTTCTTGTTTAGATAATTACAATCATCGCTCTTAATTATGAATCTTCTTGCACATCCACCCTTATGGTAACAAATTCAACGTAATCTTTTAAATACTGTGGAATTTTATCTAGTTTGCACTCGTTTTGTGCAAAATATAATTTATGATTCACCACAATTTGATATTTATAAGCCAAAAAACACATCTTATGACCATCTTCTTTCAAAATGTGGAGCTCGAATAGGGAAAAATGGGTACAAATTGAAAAATATGCCACATAATCTAAAAGATTTCACTAAATTTGACATAACAATGGTGAACATATGAAAAGATTCATAACTGAGTGGTGGTTATAATTACTCATACATGAGGGGTTTTTTCGAAATTTAACATTACCTAGGGGGTTGGCAGTAATTTACCATAAAAAAATATATATAAACAAAACTGAAGGCCCTGAGGCAAAATTTACAAACCTATCGAAGCCCAAACATAAAAGCCCATCAAAAGATAAGAATTCAGCCAGCCCATATATTAACTTTGAAAAATTAAAGAAAAGAATTAAGCCCGCCCAGATATTAATTTCGAAAAATTAGCAGTAGCAGAACCCCACCCAATTCCCTTCTCCGGTCAATTTCCAAGCGATTTCTCTGGTATATTTGCAGCGGCGATGCCTATGGAAGAAGGCGGAGGAAGCTCGGAGACCGAGTTCGTTAACATCGACACCGCCTCCTACTCACTCGATAGCTCCGCCATTTTCCACGTCGTCACCGACATAATTGCATTTATTCTGTTCATGCACCAGCAAATCCCCTCGTAATTCCGTCCAAATTCTCCACATTTCCATTCAATTTCGTGAACTCTCCTAAAATTCGTCCTTGTTTATTTTCACTGATCTTGTTATTTTGGCAGAGTGCTTCAGGATATTACACAGGAATTCGATGAATTGCGCGCTGAGTTCAAAGAATTGGTAACATTGATCTTAATTTTCAGATTCCCCCCTCTTCAATTTCAAGCATAGAATTTCAAATTTCCTAAATTTAAACACTGAATAGGAAGTCGAGCTTGCGAAAAATGAAGTGAAGGCGATATCGACAAGGAGGAAGCAAGCTACAAGGAAAAGAGAGGTGAAAATGGGGATAAGAAGGTTTGAAAAATTGATGGCTTGTGTTTCCAATCTAAAATCTGCTCTTCAGCTAATGTTTGCTGAAGTTCCGACGGTCGAGACGATTTCTCTTGTTCTTGGTCCTAGTCCTCTTAGGCCTTTGCATGTTTATGAACTGAGCTTTCCACAGGGGAGTGTTGTTTCTGGAGATTTTAGTCGAAGTAAAACTGCGGATAATCTTTCTAGAAAGGTTGTGGCTTGATTCTGGCTGGGGCCATTGCATTTTATCTGATAAAATAAAGTGTTTAATTAATTTTTGTTGTTGTTGCGGTGTCTAATTTTTCGTAGGCGATTCGGACAATGATATCAAGCGGAGCTGGAGCGGATTCATATGCTGGTAACTAATAGTTGTATTCCTGGTTTCTTGATGTGATCGAAAGTAGTGGATTTGTGCATGATTTTTGGTTAATTAAATGTTTGTAGGTCCAACAAAATTGTTTCTCTTAGTCAAAGCTCCCTCACACCTTAATTTGCCTTTGCACTTTCTTCCCAAGCGCGAGTTTCGGCAAAATAGGAAGGTAAAAAGACTGTTCGCTCTTTATTCAATGTTCGTTTTGTTCCTATGTGGAAATGCATTACTGTAGTTTCTATATGATAATAACTAGTTGATTCAGATTCCTTTTCCTATTCTTTCTGCAAGTAAAGATGACCTATGTATAGTGGATTTAACTATTTATATAAATCAAAGGCTATATGTGATGCTGCTTTTTAACTCTCTGCGTTTCGTTGAGCAACAAACGACTTCTCCGGGAAGCTGATGTTATACATTTTCTACTCCTAAAGAAAACCTTGGTATCACGTTTTCTGTTACCTCCTTGATAAAGGATAACATATTGATTCATCCTTTTTTTCTGTTGCAGAGGGTGCCACTTAGATTAAGATTTAGGTGCAGAACCCGAGATCCGCAAATGAATGCTCAACTTAATGATTGTGCTAACTCTGATGGATTGATCGACTCTGCATCAAATGATTTAATCTGGTAATGAATGATTCAAGTTTATTATAGTTTTCTTTTCAAGCTCAACTTCTCTTCAATTCGATTGATTTATTCAGTAATGCAGTATCTATGTTCACCACTTTGAAAACGAGATACGTTTTCCACATACCATATTTCTTTATGATTCCCCTCCTTCAACTCTAATTCGGAAGTCTGGTTTCTCCATTTCCCTAAAACGGACGAGTTGTTTTACATGGTAGGTTTCAGTGTCGGCACACAATCAAGGGGATAGCTTTCAGGACATCACCTCCAGAAGATTGAGTTGTCACCGATCTTGAATGCATAAATCTGTAATATGGGAATCTTGACCAGAATTTGTCTGAAAATATATTGCTACAGTTTTTAGTGCAATGAGAAATGTAGTCTGTTTAAATTCTTAGGCATGCTTGTACTTGCCGTAAGCATGCACTGGAATTGTTTGTAAGTTGTTCATTGTAATATGACATATTCCTCACCTTGTTCGTGTTGTTTCCCCTATTTTGGCTCAATTAATTACTTACACCAAATGAAATCGTTTTTTTTTTCTTTTTTGAATTTTTTCTTCTAAATAAGTATAAAAAAATAAAAATGGAAATTGTAATCTTGAAAATTTCTATGAAAAAGGTTGTCCCAAAATCAGGGATTTTTAAATTGGAATTGGCAAAATCTGGAATTTGTTTTTTAATTCACCTATACTAAAAAAAAAAATCGGCATTATTTATATTACAGCAGCCAATGAGAGATTTTTCTTTAATTTTGAAATAATGTATAATAAAAATAAAAAAGAGAGAGAGAGCTAATTAATTAATTAGTAAGAATAAAAGTATTATTAGGTCTTCAAACGACGCCGCCTCTCCGCAGAAATCTAAATACCGAGCACCCTCATTATCAGCGGCGATCACTTCCGACTGTTCCTATTCACCGCTCCTCGTTCTGTCCGCCGCCGCTGCTATCGGCGTTGCCGGAAAGATGAAATTCCAAATCGAAGATGTAACTGTATACTTCCCGTACGATAACATATACCCGGAGCAATACTCATACATGGTTGAACTCAAACGCGCTCTCGATGCCAAAGGGCACTGCCTCCTCGAAATGCCTACGGGAACCGGTAAAACCATCGCTCTTCTCTCCCTGATCACGAGCTACGTTTTGTCGAAGCCCTCCAATCCAGTAAAACTTCTCTACTGCACCCGCACCGTTCACGAAATGGAGAAAACCCTAGCAGAATTGAAGCTGTTGCACAATTATCAGGTTAAGCATTTGGGGCCGTCGGCGAGGATTCTCGCCCTGGGGCTCTCGTCGAGGAAGAATTTGTGCGTGAATCCGAGTGTCCTGTCGGCCGAGAATCGGGATTCGGTCGATGCTGGTTGTAGGAAGCTTACCGCGAGTTGGGTAAGGACAATGGCAATTGAGAATCCGAATATTCCGACGTGTGAGTTTTTCGAGAATTACGAGAAGGCAGCCTCTGATGCGGTTTTGCCGCCGGGAGTTTATACATTGCAGGTTTCCCTTTTTATTGGAGTATTTTTTTATTATTGACGACTCAATTGGAAGTTTTGGTTTTCATTTTAAGCTGTCCAACTAATATTCTGTTGATTATTTTAATGGAGACTTGAAAAAATAGATTTTTAATTATGCTTGTTTATGATCATTGAAGGATTTGAGGGCATTTGGGAAAGCAAAAGGGTGGTGCCCTTACTTTTTAGCACGACATATGGTGCAGTTTGCCAATGTGGTGGTGTACAGCTACCAGTACCTACTTGATCCAAAAGTTGCCGGAATCATATCAAAGGAGATGCAGAGGGAGTGTGTTGTGGTCTTCGATGAGGCCCATAATATTGACAATGTCTGCATTGAAGCACTCAGTGTTAGCGTACGAATGCAGACACTTGAAGGGGCAACGAGGAATCTTAATAGGATGTCACAGGAGATTGAGAGGTGTGTGCTTTTGTTCCTTAAAAAAAGATTCTCTCAAAATTTCCTACAATTTGTTCTTGATTTTGCTATACATATACAATTGCGAAGTTCATTGTGATCTTTTAGTTGGGAAGTGCATAAAAGGATTTTTTGCATTTTGAATATGGGAAGCAAGCTGCAGTAAGCAGAAACGATAATGCATACTATATGTGTTGGTTCAAATAGAATCATCAGAGATTTTATATCTGTAGATTTTTGTTAAAAATTGTAAGCTAAAGTGAAAGAGAGAAATAATTTGGTAAAACAAACTGTAGAATGGAAAGTATTGGTGTATATAAGAAAGATGGTTTTCCACATGTAGTTTGAATATTCAACTGTTTATGCATAACTGTAACTGTAAATATTTCTCCTAAAAGCATGTCACAGTTCTTCTTTCTTTGAAAAAAAAGAAAAGGAAAAGAAACTAGTGTTTCATGACATCGCTCTTTTTATCTTAACTTTATTTAACTTGGTAGGAAGGTTAAAGGCCACAGATGCTGGTCGATTGCGTGCAGAATACAACCGGCTTGTTGAGGGGTTGGCTCAAAGGGGGAACCTTCCTAGTACGTTGAATTGATTCATCATTTTAAAATTGAGCATGGAACTCTTACCAAATCATAATTTTCATTAAAATATTATATTTTCTCTACTTGCAGTTAGCGACACCTGGTTCTCAAATCCTACGTTGCCTGAGGATATATTGAAGGAAGCAGTTCCTGGAAATATCAGGCGTGCAGAACATTTCTTGTCTGTTTTACGCAGATTGGTCCAGTATCTTAGAGGACGACTGCAAACCGAAAATGTTGAGAAGGAAGGGCCTGTTTCGTTTGTTGCTTCTGTTAATGCCCAAGTTGGGATCGACCAAAAGATGCTACGATTTTGTTATGACCGGCTTCACTCACTCATGTTAACTTTGGAGATAACCGATACTGAAGACTTCTTACATATCCAAGCGGTTTGCGATATGGCAACTCTTGTGGGGACCTATACTCGAGGATTTTCTATTATCATTGAACCCTTCGATGAAAGAATGCCTCATATACCCGACCCTGTCCTTCAGGTAGCTGATATTTTAATTGCCTACCTGTAATATTTTCTATTATCCTTGAACCTTGTCTAGTAATTTGCCCTTGATTTCTAATGAAATGCCTGTGTTTTTTGTTCAGCTTTGTTGTCACGATGCTTCTCTTGTTATAAAGCCTGTGTTTGAACGGTTCCAATCTGTTGTTATTACTTCTGGAACACTGAGCCCTATTGATCTCTACCCTCGTCTTCTTAATTTCAATCCCGTGGTTAGTCGAAGCTTTACAATGTCTTTAACGAGGGATTGTATATGCCCGATGGTTCTCACCCGGGGAAGGTAACAAGTCATTTAGTGTTTCTGCACTCACCTGATTTAGAATTTATCATCATAATTTCATTTATTTCAACTTTTTCATTGTATAATCTCTCCCCTTCTCCCTTTTTAATTTTTTAGCGATCAACTTCCTGTGAGCACGAAGTATGAACTAAGAAATGACCCTGGAGTGGAGAAAAATTACGGCAAACTTTTGCTTGAAATGGTGTCGGTGGTTCCAGATGGAGTTGTTTGCTTCTTTGTTAGTTATTCTTACATGGATGCGATTGTTAATAGTTGGCACGAGTCTGGAATTCTTAAGGTATGTCCGTTTGCAAGTTAAATAGAAGATATCTGCCTTTTGGCTTTGTCTGAATTTTGTATATTTTTTTGCAGGAGATAATGCAACACAAACTTGTGTTCATAGAAACTAAAGATGTTGTGGAAACTACATTGGCATTGGACAATTATCGTAGAGCTTGCGATTGTGGAAGAGGTGCTGTCTTTTTCTCAGTTGCCAGGTAGCTCATCTACATATTAGTCTTGATGCTTGACTTTCACATACTATTCAAAACATTTTTGTTTGTTTCTCCTTATGTGCGTTGACCATTATTTTAATTCGATTGCAGAGGCAAAGTGGCAGAAGGTATAGACTTTGATAGACATTACGGCAGACTTGTAATCATGTTTGGAATTCCTTTTCAATACACGCTCAGCAGGTAAACTAATTGCATTTTTCTGACTCCTCGACTTCTTTTTAGTGGTATTTTTTCAAAACTCCCTGGACAGTAATATCCTTTCGCCTAAGGACACTCTTATATTATCATTAGCTTTAAATCCTCAATTCAATAAAAACCCAAACAGACCCTAAGCTAATAAACACCTAAGTTATAGCCGCAAGCCAAGCAGTTGGGCAAATATGTGGGGAAGAACTCCACATGGGCAGGTCTACTATCTAATAGTGACACCAGATACACCAATAGGCTCCACAATCAAGCAAATATGTGCGATAATATAATACTTCTATATTCTTCTCCTACCTTTTTTTTTTCTTCAGCACACCCATTACTGAAAAATGAACTAATATAGCAACCAAATGAAAATTACAGACTAAAAAATCTGGATAATAGCGATGAAGAGAGTAAGAAAGAGCGACGGCTCTTGAGGTAAAGGATTCTTGATATCCCATTCGTACAAGCCAAAAACCTATACGTGTCGTTTCGAAAAATAAAATTGAAAGAATGTAGTAACAAAACCTTTGAATATCGGAATCCATGTTCTGCCTTTTTTCGTGGCTCCACTAGCATAGTACACCATGTATTGAAAGAGGTTTTAATGAAGCTTAGTTATAGAGTTCAGTAAGAGAGCTTAGCAAACAATAAATCCTAAATGAAATACTTAGTTAGAGGGCTTATTGAAAAAACATGGATTTTAAGAGGTTTTAAAGGAGAGTGTTTCTCTAGAGACTTTAGTTGTCGAGCCTAGCAAACAATGCAATGCAATGCAAGAAGTTTTAATGTGTTTACTCTGAGAAGCTAAGTCTAATTTTTGCTTCAATGTGACTTAACCTCGGTTGTATTTGCAGAATATTGCTTGCGAGATTGGAATACCTGCGCGAGACTTTCCAAATAAAAGAGGGCGATTTTTTGACTTTTGATGCTTTGGTACCACTACTAGCAACTCATTACTTAAAAAAGAAAATAAATTACTGTTTTCAAATGGTTCTTACACATTTTCACATATGCATATTCAGAGACAAGCTGCCCAATGCGTGGGACGAGTAATCAGATCTAAGGCAGATTACGGGATGATGATTTTTGCTGACAAGAGGTTTGTATCCTTTTCTCTAATAACGACTATACATTATTGTAAAAATCAACAATTAAACATGGTAATAAATGTCCCAATTCTTGATTGTGCGCGTGTTTAGGTATAGTCGCCATGATAAGAGGTCGAAGTTGCCTGGTTGGATATTATCACATTTAAGGGACGCACATCTGAATTTGAGCACAGACATGGCTCTCCATATTGCAAAAGAGGTATATGTTGTTGACATATTATTTTCATCTTATTATGTTGAAATATATTCTCTAATTCGCACATTTTTTAATTTTTTAATTTTTTAATTTTTTAATTTTCCCCATATGTTAAAACAGTTCTTGAGGAGGATGGCTCAGCCTTACGATAAAACTGGTGCAGTTGGTAAAAAAACCCTTCTTTCTCAAGAAGACTTGGAGAAGATGGTCAATGGAGCTGGGGATATGATGTTTTGACCGTTTATTCCGTCCGTCTCTTCAATTCGTTTTTAATTTTTCGTAGAAAAAGGTATATTTGTCAGGTAAACGCGTTTTTCATATAATTTTTTTTTTAAATTTGTTTTGTTTAGGGATCGTAAGTAAAGTTTTGAATATTATAACGATTTAATTTGTTGTATTGCATCAAATAGTATATTAAATTATTAACGGTGAAGAATAATTATTTGGTGTATCGATCTCTTCACCTCCACAATGCTCGGTTTTCTGCCATTCACATTCTCTTTCACCTGAAAGAATAATTAAAATATATATAAATAGAAAATAAACACATATAAAAATTAAAATAAAATATTTAATAAGTAGTAAATAATACCTTAGCTCTCAATTCAGCAGTAAAAATCCCATTACTAAGTGAAGATTGCACAGTGGTGACGTGTATACCAAATTGTGCAAGCACTTGCATTACATCCAGTAACAATCCTTCGTTTTGCACACACTGTATCTCCACCAATGCATCACTCTCTATAATGGACACCTCCACCTGCGCCACCTCCTCCGCCACCGTCCCTCCTCCGCTGCCGCCACCTTCCGCCACGACCTTCATCTTCCTTTTCTCCTTCCCCGAACACGCGGCCACACTTCTATGCTTGTTGTTGGTATTCGAATATTCGAGTTCTTGTATTCTCTTGAGCAACTGCTTCACGTAGTCTATAGTGTCGCCGAGTATCGAAGCCTTGTCCATTTTAGTGATGAACGGAACTAGGGATCTGAGTGCGATGAACTTCTCGTTCAGTCTCTCCCTGCGGCGGCGTTCGGCCAGGACGTGGTTTGCGCTGAGCTCGTCCGGCGGCGGGTTGTTTGTCGTCTCTTTGATATTATTGCACGCCGTGGACATTTTGTGGAGGAGTGGGACGGTGAATAGTATGTATTTGAGGGCCCACTGGGAGGAGCCACCGCCGACGAGAAGGTTTTTGCGGCGGCACCACCTGGAGAAGGCGGATACGGCGCCGGAGGACGACATGGTTGTGGAGGAAGACTGCTTTGACCACCGGTTTGACTGTGTTTCCAGAATGCTCCACACTGTCTGAGAATAGTGGGTGTCTTCTTGTACCACCAAGTCAAATGATGGAAGACCTGCTGACGTGGATAAATTTTAATATTGTTAATTAATCTTTTTTTTATAATTGATATTATTATTAATTAATTTAGTTACGTACCAGCAGAATGTGGTGGTATAATGTTGCTGGTCATGGGATCGTCTTTCAGCTGCCACGTCTGCACAGATATTCCAGGCTTATCTAATCCTCCGCCGGCGCCGGGATGGTTCTCCGTCGAAATCCCCGGCGGACTGACGGCGAGGAGGTGGAAATTGGAGTCCAAATCGTTTGAGCAGTCGTCGTCAGGTGTACCAGCCCTAATAATATTCTCGGATATTATTATATCAACTTGCATGGGCTCGTGACCCGTTGAATGAGTTGTACCATCTGCATCAACTGTGTTTTCAGCCGGAGATAAGCTACCAATTCCGCCGGTCTCCGCCACCTCGTCGTCGTCGTCGCCCTCCTCAGCCACGTGGCTACCCATCTCGAAAAACGTTGGTTCATGTGTGGGGGGGACCACAGCAGCAGCAGGACTACTGGGAAAACGGGGCTCCGAAGAAGTTGGCGGGTTTGAAGTGGAGTGCTCCGAAAGTGCCGGCCTTGGCGGGTTCGGATCCTGACCCCCATTATTATTGTTAAAGAAGCTTTTTACACGTCGGATTATGCCAGTGTCCTCTTGAACCTAAACAAATTAAACCAACACCACAAATTAATTTTGCTAACAAATAATAATCTTAACGTCTAATTAGAGGGTTTAATTAATAATTAATAATTACCATCTCTGTTGTTCCAAGTTCAACAACTCCATCCAGCAAAGGAATACATACCACTGTCTGAAACAGTACAGTAAAAAAAAAATAGATTTCAAGAATTTAAAAAATATATATATGAATTTACGATATAATTAATATATTAATTGCAGAATTAAGATCATCAAGGTTAACAATATACCTGTATTCCAGCAGTCTTGTAACAGCACAAGAATCGAAATCGAAAAGAAACGAAGACAATGCATGTATCAGTTTTAAGAATCTTAGGTAGTTTCGATTATCGATCTTAATATATATACGCTTTCACCGTAGATCTACACAAATCACATACTAATTATATATATATATATATATATATATATATATATATATATATACCTTAGCAAGAATGGCTCTTGAGAAGGCTTTGCTGTCGGCATCACTTGCTTTTGTAAGCCATATATGCTGCCGCTTTGAATATGCTTTTCCAGGCAACCTTATTTCATTATTAACACCACAACCTTAATTTAATTAACTATTTCATTTGCTTATTAATTAAATAATGCCACTAAAAGAGTCATAATTTTTTTTTTATATATATATATATATATATATAGGTGGTAAATTTATTACAAGAGATATATATAAATGGTTCATATGGACCATGCATTTTATTGACACCAACCACTCAGTAGTACACAGACTTTTTAATAACAAAGAGAAATAATTAATTAAAACTTTGATTTCAACCCCCCTAATTTAGTTCAGGTTGCATTTATCACTGCCCCTACACAATCAATGCCTCACTATCCTTGTATGGTATACCTTTATTCTTAAAAAATAAACGAAAATAGTCGAATATTGATCGCGATAGTACTGCATGTGGGATTAATCACTAATAATTAAATCAAAAAAAAAATAATAAATTCTTCTTACCCAACTCCGGGAGGAAAAGAGAAAGAAACACACATTAAGTAGAACCACTCGGATTCAGTCAAGTCCTCCGGCGACAAGGCGGCAGAGGGCCGCCTTGATTGTTGGCTGCTGCCAGCATCGGTGGCGGAGAGAGATTCGTACAGCTCTCTAAGCTGATGGCTTCTATGAACGGTGGCTTCCTCTGTGGTAACTTCTGTTGGCTGAATTGTTTTTCTTGTTTTTATTGCTCCATTGTAATACCCTTCCCTCCATACTAGGATTCTTCATCAATATAATCAACATTAACTAATTAACATTATTTTCTTCAATTTTATAACAAGCGTATATTTATATACACGTACAAAAAAACACACAAGTACTGACGGTACAAAAGAAGACGAGTTGATCGATCGAGTTACGAGTTACGTACCCTTGTTGTGGAGAGAGTTGCCAGAAAAGGCTGTAAGTCCACTCAACCGTTTGAACCGCCGCCCGTAACACACTTTGGAGCCGACTTTTTCGAGCCGGCGGCGGCGGCGAAACGTCCATTTTCTTTTTCTCAAATTATATTAAATAAAAAAGATTTTTTTTTAAATAAATATTTTCTAAATTAAATAAAAGGAGAAGGATGATGGAAAATGATGATGAGACAAAATGAAAGAAAAGTGGTTGGAGTAGTGTTGCAACTTAAAGAGTTAGTGATTTGTGTGATAATTCATTCTAAATAATTAATATAACATTTATCAAAAAAAGAAATAATTAATATATATAATATAATAAATATATATATATACATATATAATAATTGACTGGTTGGTGCCGACCACCCTAACAGTTGTTTGTGTACCTCAGTTTTGTTGTTACCTAAATGTCGTCGAAACCTTGTTTCTATTACACACACACACACACACTCACACACACAATAAATTAATAAAATAAATAAATAAATAAAATAATTAATTTTGACCAAAAGGAGAAGTGGATATATTAATTAGGTGGAGATGACCGGGCGTTGGTCTATGACTATTATATATATATATATATATATATATATATATATATATATATATATATATATATATATATATATTAGGACCGGCAATTGAGCCGGGCCTACCCGAAGCCCGATGGCTCGGCCCGATTTTATTTGAGCCGAACCAAATTAATTGTGAGCCGGGCCGAGTTTGAGCCTTTTAATTAGATCCGATTAAACTATGGGCCGAGTTTGAGCTTACTATGGCTCAACCCGAATAAAGCCCGACTAAGTTGATAATTAAATAAAAAATATATATATATATTAATATATATATATATATGCACGGATGGAAACAAGTCAACAATTACTCAATTAGTAGTAATTAATATATAAATATAATTAAAATCAATCTTTAGAAAATGAAAAGTTTCCTACATCAAAATACTAACCGTATCTTAACATTTTTCTTAATTCATATCAAACATTAAAACTAGAATTTACCGTATCTTGCAAAAATCACGTTTAGGGTTTCTCTGCATATGTCATCAATGGAGGTAATCTTAATTTATCATTGTTTTTTTTCTCAAATTTTTTCTTCAATACAATTTCATATTTGAGAAAATTAAAGTAAAACCTGGGGTTATTGTAGTTGATTCCAGTTTGTGATATCAAAAGGTATTAGATATAACTTTGAATACTTATCTCCACTGTTTGACAAAAATTGGTTCTTAATCGTTTTATTGAGTTTGTATTTCCATTTTTTTTTCTTACAAACTTATATCCTAGACTCCTAGTTTATGACATCAAAAGATAGCATATATAACTCAGATTGTAGCCCTGCCATTGGTTTGAACTGCTAAGTGTTTTTTTTTTTTTTTTTTTTTTTTTTTGTAATATATATTACTTTTTTGCAATAGATTTAAATACAATGGATATATATTTTTAAATAATGAAATTGAGTGGTAAACTACATGACTTATTCCTCAATAATATTTGGTCTGACATTTATTTTGTGTTAATAATTATTCATTAGGTACCAACCAATGAAGATGTACGTATGGTCGAGGAAGATACAAGCCCGATATAAGCCCGATATAAACCCAAAGCCCGAAAAAATAAGTGAGCCGAGTTTGAGCCTATAGGGATGAGGCCCGATGATATTTGAGCTTGAGCCTATACTAATGAGGCCCAATGGTATATGAGCTTGAGCCAACCTAAGCTCGGCTCACATGGCCCGATTGCCAGCCCTAATATATATATAGCTCTCATCTCATGATTTCAAAGGTTAGATTTCCAATCAATCTATTTTCTGTTTACAATATTATTTAAATGTGACAAAATTCTTATATTTATTATGATCTTTAAATATATATAATTTTTTTTTTTTTTTTATATATAAGAGGTGTTGAACATACTAGAATGTTGGTTATGGGATAATAAATCACAATTGGTCCACACAATTTGAAATTGGTAGTCCCACAACAATTGAGGCTGGACCAGAGGGTCTACCATTCCTAAATAAGTTACTCTATTTCTTTTTATTTATTATTTTTCGTTTTTTAACTAGTGGAAATAATAACTAGGGATATTACAATAAGTTCTCACCTTCCTCTTATTATTATTGATTAGCTACGTGGCACGGACACAGAAACGGCGGTACGCCGAACGTCACGTCCCGAAAATAAGGATATATGAACTTGGGGAAAATATGTAAATATTAAAAGTGCAAGGGTATCTTTGTAAATATGCTATATAAATAATAAGATTTGAACCAATATTAGACCGAAGAATGAATATACAACTAAATGAAATATCCATATACACCGAATTGGGCCGTTATTTGGGCTTCTACAAAGAGGCCCGAATTGGACCTCATCAGTCATCAGTGTTGTTCTCTAATTTAGAGGTTGATTTATTTATTTGCATTTGAAATTGAACTCCTCTGGATGAAAACAATAATTTTTAAATCAATTCTTCTCATTTTAGCTATTATATTGATGCCATTTATTTAAAAAAAAAAAAAAATGGTCCTGAAGTTCATGATGGTCATCACTCGAGTCAAGATCATAAAAAAATGTGAAATTACAAAATTGCCCATGCACTAAAAGAGCAATAACATGTACCTTGGACAGAAACCTAACCATACCACATCACTTCAAACCAATAGGTATGAATGTATCGATCATGGGTTAATATAATTGGTGTGATATTTCAATTTTGTTTTTTTGTAGCATTCTTTAGATCCAAAAATGGAGGTTATAGATATTAATTATAGATAGAGGTGGAATCTCCACTAATCCACTCATCTATTCACCTTATCCTTGTAATTTTGTGTGTTGTAAGCACTCTTGATTGATCCAATCCGCATTTATTAGTACCCTTCCCAATTTAGCATTGTGTACCTAGATTCTTCTATTCCTTTTCAATAGCTTCAATTTGTGGCGGAGTACTGCAGCACTCCGACGACAAATGAAACTTGAGGGGTATTTTGGTAATATAATTTTTGTAGGGGTTTTTTTTAATCGACGATTGCGTCGTGAATATACATTTTACAATAAATCTTAAATACAACACAAATGCAGGGGTTTGTATAAGTACCCAAAATGCCGACGTCAGTGGGTGTAAATGTTAAATAAGTGGGGTAATAATCTTATATATATACAAGAAAGAAACGCTGGGTAATCCTAAAAAATCCTAATGATATTCCTGTAATTATTTATTTTTAATATGATTTCTCTACTAATTTATAACTATAATGTTTAACAATTATCAAAATTAAAACTAACCCGTGAAGAATCCTACCTTATTGTTATTTATGTAATTATTTATTTTTAATATTTTTTTGTACTGATTTTTTAACTATAATTTTCAACAATTATTGATCTCCTAATTTTCATCAATATATCTCAAATCTTAAGAGATAAAGCTATAAATTTCAATATGAATAATACTATATTATTAAATTTTATTATATTAGTGTACTATATTTTCTTATTATGTATTAAATTGATTATTTTTTTCACTATTTAAATAATATCTCGTGCATTGCACGGGGTGTACTATATTTTCTTATTATGTATTAAATTGATTATTTTTTTCACTATTTAAATAAACAGGGAAAAATGCTAGTAATAATAATATTAATATTATTATTAGGTTTAGGAAAGTCCGTGCTACGGATTAATAGCGTTCGTACAATTTGTGCACACCCCGTCCCGTTGGAAGATGGCCGTCACATCCCAAATCACCACTTATTTTTGTCCCACCAAAGTGATAATTCCACTAACTTTACCCCACACATTATAAGTTAATTTAGAAGTATTAACTTTTTTAAAATGGCAAGATTAATATTGGTGGTGTTATAGATGCTACACCGATTAAATATATCAGATAATTTTGCACCATAAATTGACAGACACATATGTTTGATATGCGTAAACGTATACCTGATGTACTTAATTGGATGTAACATCTGTAAAATCAAATCATTAAGGCACTCTAAATTTTGTGCCAAGAATTAAATTTTAATTAGTATTTGAATTTTTTTAGAAGAAACGAGTAATTCAAATATTGATTAGTAATGTCATTTCAAACAATACATTAATAATTATTAAATAAGGTGGATGACTAGAGCATGCATGTGAAAGAGGAAAAAAGATATGTGTGATGGCTTTTATTATATTTATTATATTTATTAAATGTAAGTAGACATATAAAGACAAAATAGATAGTGCAAATATTAAATTGCGATATCATAGTTTTCTAGATTGCTACACATTATGTAAGTAATACATTCATTAATAAAATAAAATAAAATATTTTTTTTATTTGATCGTATGAATATGTGTATGTTACATGTACAACCTGAAGCAGGCAGGTTTCAGTCAAAATCAACTAGGTACATAAGCCACTAATATCTATTTTTTGGTATTGATTTACTCTTCAAAAAATAATAATAAAAAATTAAAATAAAAAAATGGTCCGGTGTTCATAACGTGTACCCTTTATTTATTTGGTTATTGACTAATAATAAATTAAAAATCTCTAATTGCAATACAAGATGAGAATTAACTATGTTGTAGTGAACGTTGAGTCATCAACATTATAATGTAATATTCCAAATAATAATAATAATAATAATAATAAATAATTGAAATATAAAAAGGTTGTGATGCTGCCTGCTGTCACCCAATGCATAAACGCGACAAAGGAAATAAGGTCACGATTTTATTAGGTCAGGAAGGAACACAAATTAAAGTTATCATCATCAAATTCTTATTGAATTTTTTTTTTTTGCCTCATTTGTTCATAGTACATAATTAAATATCGTACGTCTAAATCAGAGACGGAATAAAAATAAAATAGATTACGTAATAATTTGATGAATTTAGTAAGCAGCATAGATAAATCCATAGAGTCTTGATTCTTGCATCTGAAAAATTCGTGCGGGGTGTTTGAGGCAAAACAATTGCAAGTACTTATTAATTTTCAGAATAATTCATAAGCTATTAAAAAGAGCTTATAAGATATTTAAGAGCTTATAAACTGCTAAAAAAGCTTATCAATATAACAAGTTGACAACTATAAGATTATACAACGATATTTATTTAATCTGCATTCCCTGATAAATAATCTTTAATTGAATTTAATTTAAATTTAGATACCACACGTACTACACCACCATAATTAAGTAATATTCATACCTATTTGATTGTGGCTACCCACTTTTATACTTTAATGACAATTTTTTCCACTCTTCAGATACCACAAATTTCATTAGACTCTACTTATTAGAACTCACATTTGCCTTCATAATAATGTTTTAAGACAAGTGGCAATTTTCACTATCTTCTTTTTAAAATTAGATACTCCAACTTTAATATATTTTACATAATTAAATTATAGTGCGCAACCTAAATAACTCGTAAAGCTAATTCTTTTATTTATTATTTATTTATTGTTTTTCCACACATATTTCTTCCAACATTCACAATTTATTTAATTTTCTTAAAACTACTTTGCCAAGTCCTTGGAGATTATCTTTTAAATCAATTAATTAATTAATTAATTTAAATTATGTGCCATTTGCCCTACCACTAATATTATGCATTTAAAAGTACTCGGTTTCTCACTTTACACTACCCTAAGTTTTAATTTGATGAACCCAAATACAGCCAAGTTTTATTCCAGTCGACTTTGCATGCAGTAATGCACAATAAATAAACTAATCTGGCAAATCCGCAAGCAATTAATTAGTATTTTTGAATTTTGATAGAATATATGTAACAATTTATTAAACTCTCGTGTATAAATATAGTAGACTTTTGTACTCTAAATCTATACATAGAGATGATTTTTGTGGACAGAAATGTTGTAAGTCTTAATTACAAGTATAAAATCAGGATGAATTAATTTAGTAACAAAAATGATTCACCGCCACATACTCAAATTGATATTATCCACTATTAATATAAATTATATTGTGTGTTAATACTTAATAGTACTCAATAATCAGAGGTATGTGATACCTAACTAAAATTATAAAATATGAGGTTATTATAATTAATCCTTGATGATAATGAGGCCATGGATATGAAACCATAGCAGTATAGATTTAATTTGGTCTAATTTCGCATTAATTATATCCCCTAACTAGCAAATGTATGCCGACTCTGCCACTGTATATACATGAGGGCATCGATCAATGGCCATACGTCGGACCTAAAATCTTAATATACTGATCGATAAAATGTACGTGGAATATAATATACATACAGTCAAAGATATTCATGTTTAATTTAGGCATGTGTAAATTAAATTGTAATGAATATGCATGGAAGCTACTGCTGTGAGTCTATGACCTCAATATCACGGAATAACAACAACATGTTCCATGCATATATTAATATAGCTTATTATACCCCTCGATATTTATTTTTTTCATTTTAAGAAGATCCATTACGATATTTTATTTGATAAAAATTAAAAATAAATATCGACTGTGAAATACTAATATTATTAAAACTCAATTTATTTTATAAATGAATCCACATATACTAATCATCATCACTCATTTTTTGATTTTCAGTCAGTCGTGCTATGCAAGCGTGTTCCACTATACTCACTCTAATCTACATTTAATCTTACTTTTTACATGAAATTAATCCACAAAATATACCCTATATATGCATGTAATTATTTCTTTAAATTTCTTCTGATTAATTCTAAAAATAAAACGTGTGCACGTGTGCTTAGTGAACAGTTATTTATAGAAACCTACAATCTGTAACCACATGGTATATATATTGCTCGTACGAGGTGTAGAATCTCATAAGCCCTGATTCTGTCTTTCAAAAAATATTATGTTAATTCCTTCATTATCATATATACGCTATGCTGCACGAACATGGATACGTGGACACGGCGATACGCGGATACGGACACGGTGATACGACATTTCCAAAAAACTAGGATACGGACACGCGGGGATACGCATAAATATAAAAAATATAGGGATATATTTATAAATAATAAAAATATAGGGGTACATTTAAAAATTGTAAAAATTATGTATAAGTCGTCATCGCATAAGAGAAGTACTGCTCGCCCTTGTTGCTCGTGTTCTTGGTCGCCGTCACATACTAGACTTTTGAGTTTTGGGTGGGCTCACAAAGAAAACAGAGGAAATGTGTATTAAAGAGAAAAGAAAATGCGCATTTTTTTATTAGGCTTCTCTCTTAAAACGTAAGCGAAGTGTCCCAACTTTTTTAAAATTATGGACACTGCCCGACACGGGTGTCGTACTTTTAGCGAAATTACGACACGGCCCGATACGGGTGTCCGAGAAGTGTCCCGGTGTGTCCGAGTGTCCAGGTGTCGGATACGGGGACTCTTCACCTTCTAGAAGTGTCCGTGCAGCATAGTATATACGTATACTAATAAGATAAATCAAGAAAGAGTGTATATTTCCAAGTTAAATTACATTCATTAAGTTCCCTTTTGCCAAACCAATGGGAATGAGAAAAAAACTTTCCTCACCCCACCCCCACCGCCACCTCCACCCATTAATGGAAACAACTAGTTATAATTAAATCTTATGCTATATATATAATGCAAGACACTACTCAAATTGAAAAACAACCCATCAAAGGGAATTCTTAGCAAAAATAACCTCTTTGTTACTATTATTATTATTTTTTTTTTTTTGTTTTTTTTTTATTATAACCGTAAATAAGTATGGCGGCGGCAGATGTAAAAAAAACGGAAAACGGAACGGGAATATTCGGGCGGGCGATTAAAGGTATAGTGTCAAGTGTGAGGGAAATAGGGAAAATGAAGAGAAGTGATAAGAGGAAAGTGATACACAGCATGAAAGTTGGAATAGCACTTGTTCTTGTTTCACTTTTATATTTCATCAAACCAATGTACGATCAAGTTGGTCAAAATGGGATGTGGGCTATCATGACTGTTGTTGTTATCTTCGAATTCTATGCCGGTATTTATTTTTATTTTCTTTCTTTACATATTTATATATACTTACAAAGAATACGAAGAAATATATAAATTGAATGATTAATATATTATTGCTGCATGCAGGTGCAACATTAGGAAAAGGAATAAACAGAGGAATTGGGACACTTTTAGGAGGAGCTGTTGGTTGTTTTGCCGCTATTTTAGCTGATCGAATTGGCGGGATTGGCCAATACTTCATCATTTCTTCTACCGTTTTTTCCTTTGGTACTTTTTTTTTTTTTCTTTTTCCGATTTTCGGTATAATAAGCTTATGAATTATAATAAGTAAAAATTTTAAAACCCGTACCTGCCTGGCTAACGGGCGGGGACTATCCAGTGAATCCGGGTCGGGGCGGGGCGAGTACATATTGGCATCTCTATTTTTATTAGTATCCTCTAATTAATAATAATAATTAAAAAAAATAAAAAATTAATCTCATCATAATTATTTATGGATATAACTGCACGACACGCGTAATCAAAATTGATCCTTTATTATTACTTGTTTGAAAATATTGATTAGTGTTAATTGAGATCTATTAATTAACTAAGCTAGGAGGGGATACCTATAGCTAAGTTACCGGAATTTGGTTCGTCATACCTTCAATCACACGTACGGAGCCGGTTGCAATTGTAGCAAAAATATTTTAAATCTAATTTTCTTTTAAATGAATTTATGTCAATTAAATAAAATAGTAATAATAAATGGACTATATGTACGTTCAGGTGCTGTTGCAACATACTGTAGACTGGTGCCAAGACTGAAGAAGAGATATGACTACGGATTCATGATATTCATATTGACATTCAACCTGGTGGCAATCTCCGGCGTACGGATGGACAAGGTGGTGGGAATGGCCGTTGACCGCCTGACCACCATCGGTATCGGTTTCGCTATCTGCATATCTGTCAGCTTGTTTATTTGCCCTATTTGGGCTAGCAATGAACTCCACTATTCCACCGCATCTAAGTTCCATAAACTCGCCACCACTATCCAAGGCAAGTGTTTTCATTTAATAAATATATATTATTATTTTTTTAATATTAAAATATTATTTCCCTTTTTGTTTGAATTTATATTCGAGATATTGATCTCTTGATAAAATTTATTTTAAATTTATAATTAACTTTTGGGCTTTGGTAGTTATAGACACTTAAATTAGTTTTGGGCTTTTGAGATTTTGGGCTTTGGTAGTAATGGACACTTATTATTTATTTTAATTTTAATTTTAATTTTCAATATAATTATTTACTAATCTGTTTTATATAGTATATAAATATGTTTAAATGGGTTATATATATTGTACAGGAAGTTTGGATGAATACTTGAAAATAGCAAGTGAGAAGGAAAATCAAGTGGCAGATAGCAGCAGCATTGACTATATCAAAGCATGCAAGTCTGTTCTCAACTCAAAATTCATTGATGAATCACTGGTAATTTTAATTTTGAAATAACGTGAAACGTGTCACGATTAGTTTCGTATACATCAACTATTAATTAAATTTAAAAAATTGAAGGCAAATAATGCAAAATGGGAACCTTGGCATGGGAGATTTGGATTATATTATCCATGGGATATATATTTAGAGGTTGGAGAGCATCTAAGAGAACTTGCTACCACACTTCTTTCTTTGAATGCATGCCTTCAATCTCCTAAACAGGTATCCTAAATAATTAATTATAATTTTTTGTTTTTAATTTTTCTATTAATTAAATTATTATTTATTTTTTAATTATTGTTATTGTTATTATTATTGATCAGCCATCGGCAATGAAGAGGCAGGCGCTGAAAGAACATTGCGAGGTGTTCATGTTAACGATGGGATGGATACTGAAGGAGTTAGGTGAAGGCATTGAGAAAATGGAACTATGCCAAACCAAGGATTTGATAAATCCAAAACTGGAGATAGTGAAATTACTATTGAGCCCTCGACTGTCGTCCTCTTGCGAGATGGAGGTTCTAGAAAGTGGTGAAGAACTTGCTATTGCCAGCTTCAATTTCTTGTTGCTGGAGATTGTGGACAAAGTTGAAAAATTGGCTCACAAAGTGCAAGATTTGGGGGAAGCTGCTAGTTTCCCACCTAGGAAGATTGATGTATAGCAAGGGGGAGGGCTGTTTCGGGATTTGTAAATAATTTGAGAAAAAAATACTAATTTTGTGAAACATCATATATATAATTGGACTATATATTATAGAAGCTTAGACAAATATTATATATATAAACATATATGTATATCATAAGTTAAACAAATTAAGAATTATTTTGTTCCGATTAAAGTCTCTCACATTGTCTTTTTATAGAAATACAGAAAAAGAAGAGCATTCGTTCTGTAACGGATCTTTACGAGATCAATTCGAATTGTCTCTGAATTGTTTAGAAAATATGGTTCGAGGGACTATATGTGAAGCAATTTGGCACTTGTACATTTCTTAGTCGGAGTAAAAAAAAAAAAACAAGTGTCGGGGGTATTTTGATAATTACGGATAGATGGAGGCATTTGTCATAATTCAATCTAAGTTCAAGGAGTTTTCCGTAATTTACGCAAAACCAGACAAATGAAGGTGGAGATTCCAATAAACATGTGACGAATTCATGAATTTAAAAATTAAAAAAAATTAAAAAAATAAAATAAAGGCCGGCCTAATTTATTTTGAATCAGAAGAAAACAACGAATTATTGTAATAGCAAGGAGGAAAATTAGGTTAACGAAAATGGGCCTTCTCCGAAATCCAATCACCCAAAATCTGGCCGTGTTATCATCAATTCTATTACTATTGCTCCATCTTTGCCACGTGGCTAACTGCAAACCGAACACCGCCGTGAAAATAGTGCAGTGCAACAGCGGCGCGTACACAAGCGGCGACCCATTCACCGTCAGCCTAGCCCACGTCCTTGCTGAATTGGAGAGCGTTGCTCCCACTCGCCTAGGCTACGATTTCCACAACATATCCCCCTACCCAAACGCCTTCGCCTACGGCCACGCCGCATGCAACCAGACTCTGACGATTTCCGACTGCTCCGCCTGCCTCGCCGCCGCCAAAACCGCCTTGATCGCCGCCTGCGACGGCCGGATCGGAGCCCGCTCCGTGCTGTATGATTGTACTGTTAGGTACGAGCAGTACCCTTTTGATGACTAGTTGCTCTGTCACTGTGTTTCTACTTTGTACTGATAATGTAATTGTTCGTGGGAATTAATCAAAGTCCATATTTCTGTAAATTAAAATCGAATCGAACCATAAAAATCGGAAAAATCAGAAATCGGAATGAAAAAATATTGTTCCACTATCGACGGAACGAAAAATATTATCCCAAAATCGAAAAAAATCGGATAAAAAATCGACAATACCTTTCCAATTTTAGCCCTAGGTAAAAATAATAGTGACAAGTATACAGAGCAAGAATCATGATACTGCAGAATCAAAACCAAAAATCAACTAGCTTTCATATCAATTAATGCCTTTCTACCTATACAACTGCACTGCTATACACATTTATCCAAAACTACAAGAATCACGACAGAATATTCCGTCAAATTCGTCTTTTCTGAATCTCCCGTTTAAGTATAACGGCATAGAGGAGCTCGTTCCATGAATCGGGGACACCTGGCAGGCACCAATGGCTGCAGTCTTGACGGTGAATAGGTGCGGGCCCAATCGAAGGCCCTAAATAGTACAACGAAGAGTGACCATCTTTTCTATGAGAAGTCATACCAGTCACATTCAATAACTCTATATTTCCGTTTCTCAGATTTTCCGATAAACCATCAACTACGGTTTTGTACTCGATATACGTTTCGTAAGGAACTTGAGGTGCACTCAAATCGGGAATTGTTTCCAGGTGGCAACTCCCACCACTCCTCCAATCCCCACCTCTGTTTTATAAAAAAAATAAAAATAAAAATTACATTTCGAAATGATCGTATATATATTTGATTAACAGCTAAATGAAAAGAGATATATATACCTGAAATGCACTGGAGCATAAGCTCGGAATATAAGATGAGTCTTCGACAAATTTACTTCGTCGTTTATCCAATCGACTAATGTCTTCATTGACCTTCGAAAGGCGTTTTCTACAGTCATATCCATTTTTATATCGGTCCCTTCTTGAAAGTAACAACCCCTGATAATAAACCAACAAAAAAAAAAATCAAGAACCGGACGCGATTTCTGTCAATTTTTAAATGCGTAATCTTTTATTTAATTATTCAATCATCTCTCGTCAGTCGTCACTTCTCTCACGAATTATACGATGACATTGCCATAAAACCAATTCAAGTCCACGAGCGCAGAGAAAATTAGCTGTTGAAAAGTTTCAACACATTTTCTTCTAGTTAAACCTAATTGTCTGATATTTTTGCTCATTTTCAAATTCATTAATAAACTGGAATTCTTGCCCACCTATTTTTCGACCAACTTCACGCTAACATTAACAAAGCCACAAAGAAAAGCAATAAATTTGTCAAATAAGAACTCTTTCTCTTTAAAATCAAGAACCATTATTAACGAAACAAATCGTGAAATGCTCGAATAATTAAACGAGAAAAAAAATGTTACCCTCGGATGGTCTTTTCGTAATTCCACCAATGACCCGTATTGAAAACGAGGAAATCGGCAGTGTTCCAGCTAACTGAGCTCCAATCCATCTGATCCAACTTCAAAGTCATTTTAACGTTTGGAGGTGCACCGTTAGGTGGTCTGCTCTGCAAGACTAGAAACGGGGCCCGGTAGTATTCGACGGTGCAGTTATATTCGCTGAATTTAAAAACCAACGAGCCCGAGTGCTTAGTGATGGGGGTCCCACTAACTTCGTATATTGAAGTTTTGTTTGGAACTGCCGAAGACAGCATGCACAGAAGCGACTCCCATTGGTTTCTTCCTATTGAATCTCCTACGAATACTAGCCGTTTGTCTCGCAGTTTTTCCAGCATCGCTTTTGCATCGAATCTGAGAACAATCCAATAAATCAGCCTAATTAAACATACTGTAATTCAACATCAGAAAATCAATTCCCTTAAGCAGCAAAAGTGCAAGAAAAAAGCATTCTTCCTGGATAAATAACTAATTCTTGAAATATACATTTTTCTTTTTTCAAGAAAATTAATTATTTTCTCATAACCTCAACATATGAAGCAACCCTAAAAACCCACTATTATAGCATTAAATTATAACCAAATTAACACACACACACACACACACACACACACACACACACACACACACACCTGGGCAAGTTGCAATCTTTAGGTTGCCAACGCCACTTGGTAAAGAAATTATCAGGGCGGCCATTCTCCGAACAGCGAAACCCTTCATCCAAGAACATGCAATCCTGCGATTGGTAAAGAGGATAGCTCTCATCCCACACCCAATCCCCTCTATATATATCACAATCTCCTCCTCCGCCGCCGCCGCCGCCGCCGACTTCGAGAAACCCCACCTTGGCGGCGTATTCCGCTGAAGAAGCATTAGTGGACTTAAACCAAGTAATTAAAAGGAATTGCCTGTGCAAACCATTAACAAATCTATAGTCCAGCAAACACAGGGAGAAGATTAAGCAGAGGGTGAAAAAGAAGCACCACCCAAGAACAGAAGGAGCGGAGTCTTGGGGTTTCAAGAACTTGATTTTCTTGAAAAAATCGAACTGGGGCATTTTCTCTCTCATCCCTGGTGTAGAGTGCAGAAGAAACACTTCATCTTTTTTTTTTTTTAATTTATTTTGTTTGTGAATGGATGAGGAGAAAGAAGACAAGATATGAACGAGTTTGTGTACCAGACGGATATAAAATGGTTACACATAACTACATCCAAGAGAGAGTTTTTAGAGAGAGAGAGAGTTTGAAGAGAGAGGGAGTTTTTAGAGAGAGAGAGAAAAGGGGAAAGAAGATAGGACAGAGTTGGAGGATGATGAGGAGATAGATGGTGTGGGGACTCTCAAAAAGACAAAACATTCATGCCTATGGTGGTTTTTCTACATTCTTTTCTAATTTTTAATTGCACATCCTTTTTTTTTTTTTTTTTTTTATTAAAAGTGATAATAAATTCACAATAAAATGAGGTTAAAATTTTGGGGGAACTTCTCTTGATTCGTTTGGGACTCATAAATTGAATGCGGCTAAGTTGGTGTTTGCAAATGATTATTTAAAAGCAGAAGTTAGTGATTGTGATTTAAGTTAGTTTTAAGTGCTTATTTCTAAAAGTTTGGGGTGTTTGCAAATATTTCGGAAAATGAACTAAAATTGAAAAAGCAGGGTTAGGGGTGCTTTTAAAAAAATAGCTTAAAGTAGATTATTTTAAGAGAAGCAAAAGCAAAAGTTGATTTTGCAAACACCTAAAAACAGATTATGAACAAAAAAAACCGCATAATCACTTTCAAAAAGCATTTGCAAACACCACCTAAATTACGGTCACTTATGAGGTAAGATTAAATCACAAAAAAAACTTTTTATGTTTGGATGATTGGATATATATCTTTAACTACAAATTTTCTTATATATTTACCCTTATGATATCAAATTCAAAGATTTTTTTAGATTTTGTGGAATATTCTCTAGTTTGTTCTCGTTTTATGCAAAAATGCAATTTCCGACGCACCATAATCTGATATCTACAAGTCAAAAGACACATCTTATAATTATCTTGTTTCAAAAGTTTTAAATGTGGAGTTTGAATGAAGTACAACGAGTACAAATTAAAGAATATTCCACTAAATTTGACACCATAATGGTTGACGTATATAATTCTTCTTAGTTGAGAAGAATGATTGTAATTACTCAAACATGAGGCGTTTTTCGTAATTTAATATTTACCTCAAGTTGCCGATATAGTTTAACCATTGAATATTTTTGTTCTTTTTTTTCTTTTTCTTTTTTTTTAGTGGGGGTAGCCCGGTAGGGGTTAAAAAACGTGGTACAAAAAGTGCGTCTACGTGGGAGAGAATCGAGGGAAAGTGTGGGTTCGAAAACGAAGTGGGAAATTTTTGCCAGACAATAAATACCATCATTTAAATAACACGTGATTTTTCTTTTTCTTTTTCTCTTTCAAAACATGCCTTGTGGGAACATGTAACACTTTCCATTCTTTTAGTTATCGAAATTATTAAATACAAAACTAATAAAAATCCACAATTAAAGAAATCTAATTTGCTAGAGTTAAATTTTGTCACAAATGGGTAAGTAGAGAATAAGCAAGAATCAAACCCTGTACAACTGCACCCTGACCTTTAATAATTAAATTTCGACAACAAAACTTTATGTAACAGCAATTTCATGCATATCAACTATTATTATTTTGCTATTCTACCGACACTTAATCATGACTTATTTCATTCAACTATTCTAAAATGTGTCTTTGTATCTAATATCGACAATGGAGACGAAATCGGATCGGACGGGGAGATATTTACGCCCTCGTCGCCGTAGTACTAGGATTCGGTCAATTCTTGAGGTTATTTCGTAGAAAAGGCGATTTCATTATTGTTAGTAATTAACAGAAGATCTATAAAGGGCTACCAATTTTCAGATTTGGCACATCAAAGACCAAATTAGGGAAAACTGTCACATTCCAAGAATCACTTTATAGGCCAAAAATTATAATGTAGTTAGCAAACTGTCTTTCTTACATACAGAAATGGGGAAAGGAGATGATGTGGTTAGAAGAAAGAAACGGCAATGAGGGCCACTTTCGAGACTTCAAATCACGAAACTTATGATACCAACCACGACTTTTTAGGATGATGATAAATCGTATACTAGCAGATTAAACATTAGCCAAAACTGTAAACGAAAATGTTAAGAACTCTAAAAGAAAAAATATCATTTTCTCTTCCCACGGGAAAATTAGTAACCAAAAAGCCGTAGTTCACCATAAACATCGTATATATCAAACCACAATGCATGCAAACGGAAGAGGCGGCATGTAAAAGTTGAGCTAAACCACGGAACAATGTCATTAAAATCACAATGATCTTTTACCTGTAAACATTGCACAGATCATATTCAAGTTCTTCTAGAAACACATTCACTTCTTCAAATACAGATTTTACATAACAAAAAATACTACAAAAACTGATACGATTGGTTAGATATTTAACGGCCTCTACCGCGTCCACGCCCACGACCCCTGCCCCTACCGCGGCCCACAGCTCTCCCTGAATTGGTGAAGAATTATAAAACATTAGGGCATATAATAAAGGAAGCAACGAATATCAACTAAGATCGTAAACAAATGATTAAATTTAATCATATTATTGTTGTACCTGCAATTGGCTTCTTGGGCTTGATCTTAGGTGTCTCTTCAACTAGCAATGTCTCGAGATTCAGACTATCGGGAAGGATGTAATAACGTATGTTATTACCCCTTACACTAAGGTGATCCATAGTCACTGGATTCTTTCCCTTCAAAGTAAGCTTTACAGCTTTCAGATGCGTGTTCATGCTGATATCAACACCTATTAAGAAAGCAAAGTGAACTACACTCAGACTTGCAGTTATATAAGTTAGTTATAATGCAAATTGAAGAACAAATACTTCAATGAAACTGTAGAGGAATCAAGATTACGGCAAATCAAGTTCATCAATGCACATAAGCTTAAACAAGCAACTTAGAAACATCGAAACCTATGACTGCTGGTACCCATCTCATTATAGTATCAATCGAGATATTTTACACCACCTACATCGAGTCGTTTTTTAATAACTTAGAACAGCACTATCGGCATTAGAAAGCATACAAAAGACTGGAGTAGTGAATGTGAAACTATAAGGCCGTGTAAGATTATTTTTGCATCTTCAATATTAGTATGGAGCAAAACTACAACCCGTTTTTTTGTTCTTAGTACAAAAGGATTATTCGGGAATCAATTCGAATCCTAAAAATTATGTCAATAATATTATACCTCTGTTTTGTTAAATTAAATAAACAGTGAGTTCCAAAGCAACAGCTCACATCAACACCCTGCATATGATCATTATCATGCTCATACATTCATCTTTCTCATCAACAAACTGCATCCAAGTAATTACAGATCTTTACACACGATATCTCAAGTCATTAATTAACATACGATTCGACCAAAATGCCGAATATATTGTTCTACAACTTGGAACCTAGATCTCACATTAAAGCAGGAATACCCAAATAAAAGTTCACTATCTTTACTCACTTAAGGAATTCACTGAAAAATGAGAACGAAATTTAAAACTTAATCAACAATAAAAAAAAAAATCCCCAAAAGAGAAAACAATCAACAGTGGAAGTATGGTGAAAGAGACTAACCAATAATAGTGCCGAAAACGACGGTGCCGTTTTTTAGCTCAATCGACACAGACTCGTTGTTCAATTTCATCAGAAATCTGCTCAAATCAAAACAAAAAGGCTAAATTAAACCTGTTTTTGAGTGTAAGCGAAACAAAATTATCGAGAATTAAGATAATATGATACAGAAAAAAACATACCTGACGAGCTTCATCGTTGCGAGAGGTAGTCGATGAAGAACTAGGGTTTTTGCGAAAGCAACCAAAGAAAATAAAAATCTGCGGAAGGGAAGGGTTTTAGGAATCGAAGTGACACTGGCACTAAAATTTTGAAGATCTACTGAGTAATATATGGGCCTAACGACGGCCCGTCCCAATACAAAAGGGCTGAAAGGCCCAATTTTCTACTGTACGGTAATGGTTTTTTTCTCTTGACTTTTTTTATATATGTGATAAATGAATTCATCCATAAGTATAGTTTTTTTAGTGTTCTAAAAATCGGCCGAGGCGGCCGATTAATCGGCCTCCGAGGCGGAGGCGGTCCAAAACCTTTACGATTTTAGTGTAAAGGTTTGAAAAATCGGTTTTTTGCCTATGAGGCGGTTTTAGGCGGTCTGAGGCGGTCCGATGTGGTCTGAAGCGGTCAAACCTGTAGGGTGGGTCAAATTCGGTGGCAAAAATCGGTCAAAAATTAGTTAAAAATCGGTTTTCCTTTTTTTTCTTTTTTTTTTCTTTTTATATTTCAAAATAAAAGTTGGATTTTAATAAAAGAAAATATGAGTTTATGCCTTATTTTGTTTATGTTAATTGTTATTGTTAAATAACTAATGATGTATGCCACGAATGTTCTAGAATGAATGTAAATTCAAAAAAAATGTTTTTTTTTTATTTATATTTTATAAGGATATTTATGTATTATGCTCTTATGATTATTAAACTTTTATTATGTTATTAGGATATATACATGATGGAGATATAACTATGTTTAAATATATTTTTATATATGTTCGGAGTATGTATAAATAATATTTAGAAATATATTATATTAAATTTTAAAAACCGATTTATTTCCGATTTATCACCGATTAATCACCGCCGCACCGATTAATCGTGAGTCGGTGCCTGACCGACTCAGACCCGATTACCGATTTTTACAACCTTGGTTTTTTAGTAAACATTTTTTTCATAGTTAAATTCCAAAACAAGAATTATGTATGATTTTTTTTTTTTTACATAAATTAATGACATCACTTAAATAATAACTTCTTCCAGTCCCGACTCGAAAAAAATCTACTAAATTATTAGTTTGATAATTTAATACTTAACTTAAATTAATAGAATTTTGCTAGTCCCGTCTCTCGAATATGTTAATTTATAGAGGTTTATAAGTAGGTGATATTATTTCAAATCATATGCTAACTTTTTACTTTTATAAAAAAGATAAGAGAAATATTGAATCCTAAAAATCAATTAATTAATTGTAAGAAAAATGTGGACAAGAGTACTCGTACCAAGTTAAATAATTTAAAGTTGAAATCGAGAAACTAAAAACTCATAATAAATAATTTAAAAGCAAAAAATATTACTTTAAGCTGGAACCAATTTCAAGCACATATATATTATGAACATACATACGAAAAAGAATCTACAACAAATGACGTATATATAGTATTATTATATTACAGTAGTTCCAAAAGTGATGATGCCCACAATTTTGACAGAATCCGATTATCAGTTACAACTTACAAGAACGTAACCCAAACCCAGAAGAACATACATCATCATCAATTTATACTAGGTTGCATGCATGCATATATACATACATACATATGCTTATTGCCTAGCTAACTCACAACTTCGTCCTCTAATCATCTTCTCACGTCATCTAATTGGATATACTACACTCTATTTTCACAGCAATCCTTCACCTAATCAACCGCAAACAATTAATATAATATCTCTTCAATTTAATTATAATTAATATATTTGCATAATCAACACGTGTCCATCCACGTGTCCATAATTGGCGCAGCGTAACACACTGCTATTAATATCTATCTACATATCTTCATGCAACCGAAATTCATGAAGTGGGTATTACCATTTTCTCTTTTCAATGTCGATCAAATTAGCTTTCTCTCTCCTCTTCTTTTTCTTACTTTCTTCTCTCTTCTTCGAAACTGCATTTCCAGCGTTTTTAGCGCCTCTTACCAAAGACTGGTCAACCCAAAAATACATGATCACAGTTTACCTAAATACCCCTCCCCGTCCCACTAATTTAGTTCTTGACCTCGGCGCTTCCTTCACTTTAATGGACTGTTCCTCCGCGGCCTACCACCACTCCTCCTCCACTCCCTGCGGTTCCTCTTTCTGCAGTTCCCCACCATGCATAAAAGTTTGCTCCACCGATTCCGGTCCACTACTCTCGCTCACCGGTAAACCGCCACTAACGGGTCAACCGTTCATCGGGTCGCTTTCCATGCCCATAACCGACGGCCGGAATCCGGGTCGGCTCGGTTTGATACCCAAGTTCGTTTTGTCATGCACGGAAAGGTCTTTACTCAAAGGCGTGATTGCTAAAGATGCCGCCGGTTTAGCCGGTCTGGGCCGGTCTAATTTATCTATCCCAGCGCAGGTTAGCAACTTCACCTCTCAAAACTCGGTGTTTGCGCTTTGCTTGTCCGGTTCGCCTTCCGCCCCTGGCGTGGCGTTTTTCGGTTCGACCGGCCCTTATTTCATTTCCGAAATTGACCTCTCCAAATTTCTTAATTACACCCCACTCCTGCCGAATCCGTCTACGAGCGGGAGCACGGTAGTCAGCTACGCCAACCCTTCTAACGAGTATTTCATTCGTCTGACCGACATAAAAGTCAACGGTAAAGCCATAGATTTCGATCGTGCGCTTCTGAGATTCAACGGGAAAGGAAATGGTGGGACCAAGTTGAGCACCGTTACACCCTACACCACGCTGCAGAGCACAATTTTCACGGCGTTAACCGAAGCGTTCGTGAACGAGTCGGCTGCGCTCAACCTCACGGTAACGGGAGCCGTGAAGCCGTTTAGGGTTTGCTACAAAGCGGATGACGTCATGAGTACACGCGTGGGACCCGGTTTCCCCACCGTCGATCTCGTGCTGCAGAGCGATGAGGTGATATGGAGAATATTCGGGGCGAATTCGATGGTCAGGATCTTCCGTGATGACGCGGACGTGTGGTGTTTGGGAGTCTTGGATGGTGGGTCCCACCCGAAATCAGCGGTCGTGATTGGAGGGCATCAAATGGAGGACAACTTGCTGCAGTTTGATCTTGAGTCGAAGAGGCTAGGGTTTAGTTCTTCTCTTCTGGTACATGGTACAATGTGTGGTAATTTTAATTTTACGACCAACAATAATTTGATAGTTATGTAATAGTTAATTAGGGTTCAACTATTTGTAGTGAAATTATTAAAATTTGAGGGTTTTTTTTTAACTTGTTTTGGACTTAAATTTATGTATGTTGAATAGATTAATTTGTTTTGCGTTATCGATCGACATACTAGAACCTCGATAAATTAATAATCGATAAATTAGTAACATCCCTTAAATAAAAACTTCTCACATTCCCGACTCGTTAAAAAACATATTAAATTACTAGTTAGATAATTTAAATTCATAGTATTTTGTAAGTCCCGACTCTATTAATTTATGAAGGTTTAACCGTCGAACAAATAAACAACGCCTAATCCTTAATAGAAACAAGAAATTACGAATTAAAGTTCCTAATAATAAATAGAACTGTCTAAAACAAATGAGATGGAAAAGAGAACATGATCGATTTCTGTCAAATCAACCTGCATCCGTTAGGGTTCTCATCACTGAAATAGTTGGGGCCGTAGTGGCTATACTGCTGCGGCGGTGGAGGCATTCGCCGCGGTGGTGGCAATGCCGGCGGAGCGGAGGGACCGTAACCGGATCTCCAGTGATCACATCCATCAGCTGGCGGCAGTGCACGAGTGGACGACCCACAACCGCCATTGCCACCGTGATGATAATAGTTACTGTTGTTCATGGCGCGGTGGTTGTTGTGGTTGGTGTGGCAACAACAACCATGAGCAGTTCCGCTGCCAGATCCTCCGCCAAGGCGGTGGTGCGCCGGCACCGCCTGTCGCCCGTTGAAATGATCGTCGGCGTAAAACTGGGAGGTGCAAGTGTCTAGATCTTGACATGAACCATCGTCATCGTCGTTAAAGGTGAATTTGATGGTCTTGGTCAACTCAACCTGCTTCAACCTTTTGATGTTGGACAACTGTTCCAGTTGCCTGTGGTCAATTTCTTGGGTTTGACTTACGGATATCGAGCGGTTTTGATTGGCCGTGTGCTGGTTCACGGAAGCTTTGCTGCTGTCCCACAGGATCTCCGCCCTTTTCCCTATTTTCGACAGGGCCTTCTGCAGCGTGTACGGGTCTGCTGAACCCGATACTGTCACTTTTCCATTCCGACCATCTATTTCGATAGTCCTCACACCTAAAAAAGAAAAAAGAAAAATTTAACAGATTATCGTAAATTTGTAATGAAATGATTAAACTAATGAAACCAAAATCGGTGTTTATATGCTATGCTACACTCGGTGAATTTCACCAAGCTGTTCACACGTGTATAAATTCATATGTTTATTACCGTTGATCTTCTGCAGGGCTTTATAGACCTTCTTTTCGCATGCAGGGCAATGGAAGTTAACCTTCAAAACACAAGTCTGCCATCCAAGAAAAATCAAGAAAATGGTGTACAAAACTGCATTTAATTTAATATAACATTCATGAAAGAAAACAATTTAGCAAACAAATTAAACACGTGGCATTTAAATTAAATACTATGTAATTACCCTTGGAGTGATCATGGAGAAATCCATTTGCAAAAAATTGAGACAAAGCAGAAGAAGAAGAAGAAGAAGAAGAAGAAGAAGAAGAAGAAGAATTGCAGTGAGTGTTGCAATATCTAGTAATGCTTCGCTGATGCATGGAAGGAAATATTTAGGTTTACTCGTTAATTAAAGATATTATTATATCTTTTCCATTTTTAATATATATCGAAATTCAGATATAATTTTCTGTTGCAAAGCAGAGATATTGGACAAGAGTTGGTTAATATTCCTAAATAATAGTTTTAAATTTGGAAATATTATTATTCCATTGAGGCTCAATTCATGGAAGAAATATATTTACCTACCATGTTTTCGGTGTCGTAAATCGTGCAATACAATCCGAAACTCCATAAAAATGAAATGATAATAAAATCTGACCGAGAAAAAAGAAATCGAAAAGATACTGTAACAAATTCATACAATAAATAACACAAATTTGCATGAATAAAGTTCTTATTGAGAGTGATGTTAGTACAAATTAAATAATTGAAGCAATTACTCCCTCTTTTTGAAGCTTCCCTTTGGTTTACACCAAAAGAGTGCCTTCCATCACTGTGACTGCTTTTCCTCGAAGCAAAACCCTCTGATTTTCGTCGTCGAGATGCAAATTCAAGATGCCACTTCTAGGCGACGCCTAATTTAAAACACGTACAATTAACATTGTTAAAGCTATATAGTCTAATGTGATCTGAATATGTGTGTGTGTGTGTGTGTGTGTGTGTGTGTGTGTGGTGACAGAGAGAATGTGTTTACTTGATATGCAATAAAATCGCGTTTTCCGAGCTTCTTGCTCCAATATGGAGCTAAGGCACAATGTGCACTTCCGCATACAGGATCCTAAACACCGAGAAACAAAATCAAATCAGATACACAAGGAGAATCAAGAATGTTTGCCATATGTACGAATTCCAACCCGATGAGAAAAAAAAAACCCAACCCAAATGTTATGAATCGATTCCAGATGTGTTTGTGCTCAATATACGTGCATATTAACGAGGTCATATTAGCATGTCCTCAAGTATCGTACACGAACTTAAACTGAAGCAGATCAAGAAGTTTTTGATTGATTCCAAAGAGTATTTTTACCTCGTTGATCCCGAGTTTAGGGCAGAAAAAACGACTGAAAAAATCAAAGCCAGAGCCCGTCGGAGCAGGTCCAGTAATGATTAATCCTCTTCCGCCAGGACATTTTAGTATCTCGTCAAAATTGGGTTCTACTTCTTCAACTGCCTTTCCAGATGGTAACACAACCTGTCAAAAATCACACCAGATCTTAAACACTTTACGCTCTTTAGTCAGACCAAATCATACTAAAGGACAGAACAAAAATAGTCAATGTAATAACAAATTGGAATACGCACAAGGAGGTCATCTCCAGTAGTTTGGATCTCGTTGAAGGAAGCTCCGTTCAAGCTTTTTGAAATGATTGCCACCTCAGCATCAGAAGCACCGTTGTATTCCATTATTGGGAGAACTGGAAAATCGAGTTCGATGAGGAAGCTCACAGTTGCATTACCATTAGAGTCAATTACTCTCTTTGCGGTCAAAATCCCGGAGAGAGTCAAGAACTCAATCCTATCAGACTTCACCAAATCGTACGAGAAGAGAAAGTGGGATGCAGCTAAAGTTGCATGTCCACAAAGTTTGACCTGTCCTAACAAATCACAAACTCGGTAATCTGATTCGAGAGTCGACTTATATACATACAATCAAATAGTAAGCACCACAAAAAACAATTATGCATCAAAATCAGCACTCAAAACAAAATTTAAATAATTCAAAATCAGCCAATATTATCGGAGAAAATCAAGAACGCTAGCATATCAAACTGTTAATCGAATCCTACGAAGCATGATATTGTCGCAGCGTATTCGAGTTCATCATGTCTCACCTAATAGTTAAAGTTAATGAAACTAATCACCAATTATCAGAAATTAAGATCAACATATGCAAAAACTCTTTCTAGGTTGAAGTATTCATAATTTATAAATGTTATCTGCTCAGAGTAAAATTAATTTTCCTATCAAATTGACAAAATTATACGGTAAACAACATTCAATTTTGAGAGCAAAATTAAATTCGAAGTTTGGGTGTAAAAGCTTAAGAACAGAAATTGAAAATCGGTGGACCTCAGCGACGGGGGTGAACCAGCGGAGGCGAAACCTGGGGACGGAGCCGATTAGTGAGTCGGTCGACTCGGAGAGACGAGTCAAATAGCAAGTCTCCGATATGTTAAACTCACGCGCCACCGCTTGCAGCCAGTCATCATCTCTGTCCTCCTCCAGCAGGCACACCGCCGCCGGATTTCCCTTGAATGCGGAGTCGGTAAATGCATCGACCTGTTTTAATTACATCAAACGATTGTGAAATTAATCGCCATTACACAATCGAAAAATCTGTAGTTGAGCAGATAATTAAGAGAGATTTTCATTCACCACGCAGTATCTGACGGGCTCTTTTGCCATGGTTAACTGTGTGGATCAAGTGAGCGAACAGTTGCGAGAATACTGAGAGTAACGGCGTTATTTACCTTTTGCCCGTTGATCAGCTGTAAAAGGACGAAACTGCCCTTTAGTTATTAATACATCTAATCTAGCCGAACTTTATAATTTACGGATCCTCACAACTTATCTTAAACTTGATATTTTAAACATTTTGCAACTGCAGTTTTTACTTTTTTTTCTCTTAAGATAAGTTCTCTTAATAAAAAAAATAAAAAATATATTCATCAAAAAATATTTTGGGGGGATTTTTTGCTAATTAAAATAACATAGAGAATTTTTTTCTGCAGTTCGAGATAATATAGGGATACAAATTGCAATTTAGACAAAGATATAGAGCTAATAGCAAAGACCCCCTGTGTTATTTCTAATTGTTGAAAAAGTCCTTATGTTAAGAAAATTAACAAAAATCCCCCTATGTTTTATTTTAAAAAACACAGAGCTCCTTATTTTAAAATTAGTTGTTGACTTACGTGAAATGACTCTAATATCCCTAGTTAGTTTTTAATAATATTTTAATTTTACTAAAACAAAATAAAAGAAAATATAAAATTAATATTAAAAAAAAAGAAAAAAAAGGAAAAAGAAAATGGACTATATCTTCTTCCCATCACCCAACCCACCCAACTTTTCATACCACATCCGCTGCCGCGCCACCACATCCGCCGCCGCACCACCACCACTTGAAACACGTTCTTCTCCATTGAACTTTGAGTTATCGAGAATGGTGAATTTCAAGTTTTGGGTTACCAAGAATGGTGAAGTTGAAGGTCAAAATAAAAAAAATTTCTTCCAATTTTATACATGGAAAATGGGGCTTAAGCTCTGTCCTCTTCCCCTTGTCTTCGTACCTTTTAATTTTTCTGGATTTGCAACAAAACTGAGCTTGAGAATCTGGATTCGAATGATGTTTTTTACTGGAAAAAATTCAGAAAATGGGTCTAGAAAGATGGCCTTTTTGAAAATAAGGACTTCATTGAAAATTTTGAAAACTTCAATTTGGTGCTTAAAATTCTAGGGTAAGTCTGTAATTTTTAAGACTTCTAATATGAAGGATATTTAGGTCATTTCAGGTCAAAAAACACACCCCCAGACGCACATACGGCGAGTGTAGCGCACGATAACCTGTCAGGGGCCTTTTTGGCTTTGACTAACTTTCGTAGGGGGGTCCTTGCTAATTTTTTTAACATAAGGGTGTTTTCAGCAATTAGAGATGTCACAGGGGTAGTTTTTGCAAAAAAACCTAAAGATATAGTAATATAGGTAATCCAAATGCGAATCCTGCAAGATTCTTACAGCAGCATACATTATTACAAAGAGAATTGCATGAAAAGTTTGTTATTGAAAAGTGATGTTTAATACAACACATTCGAAGCAATTAGTCCACGTTCGAAGTTTCGCTTTGGTTTACACCAAAAGGGTGCCTTCCATCACTGCAACGGCTTTTCCTCGAAGCAAAACCCTCTTATTCTCGTCGTCGAGATGCAAATTCAATACGCCACTTCTAGGCGACGCCTAATTTCAAACACACAAAATTTAAATGATTACACGAAGATATCTAGTTAAATTGAAAACAGAATGTAATGTGATCTGAATTTGTTTACTTGATATGCAATAAAATCGCATTTTCCGAGCTTCTTGCTCCAGTATGGTGCTAATGCACAATGCGCACTTCCGCATACGGGATCCTTAAATAAATAAAACCCTCAAATCATATACATGCATATTAACGAGATCATATATATATATATATATATATATATATATATATATTTGCATGAAGTTGAAGTTTTCGACTAATTCCAAGAGTATTTTTTACCGCGTAAATCCCGAGTTTAGGGCAGAAAAAGCGAGTGTAAAAAAGCCAGAGCCCGCCAGAACATTTTAGTATCTCAACGAAATTTGGTTCAACTTCTTCAACGGCCTTCCCAGTTGGTAATAAAACCTGTCCCAAAATCACCATGAAACAATTAAAGTAGCTATTGAACAGAACAAAAAATGATCAAATGTAATAACAAATTCGACCGAGTACTACGCACGAGGAAGTCATCCACAGTAGTTGTCTTGTAAATCTCATCAAAAAAACCGCCATTCAAGATTTTCGAAATCATTGCTACCTCAGCATTAGCAGCACCATATTTGTATTCGATTACCGGTAAAACTGGGAAATCGAGTTCAATGAGGGAATTATCAGGTGCGTATGCACCATGCTTCTCAGAGATGGATGATCCGATGGTTGAGAATCAACCACTCTCTTTGCTATAATAGGGGTTGCAAAGTGTATTTAACTTTAAATCAAATTTCAACAATTTGAAGTATCATTATTTTGGCACATTGCACCCTTCAAATATATTTTTTGACACTTTGTACCCTAAAATAAAATAGCAATTTGCACCATCGAAACACATTAAATCATGTATAATGCACCCAAATGAATTTTTAAGGGTAATTTAATATTTTTAGTATTTTCTTATGATGTCAAATGTCAACTCTATCTTCTTTATTATATCAATCATATGTAAATTATAAAGTGCAAAAATAAAAATAAATCATCTGATTAACATATTTAAAAATATTTTTTTATGTTTTTTTTATCTGAAAATTATATTTTCTTTCAAATATTTTTATCTAATATTTCCACCAATTACAATAAAAGATCCATCAACCGAATAATTTAGTAATAAAAATTTATTTTATTTTGTAAGAAAATATAATTTTCATTTCCATAATCCGGGATTCTTATTTTCGCGCAATCGAAATTAGGTTGAAAGTTGAAGAAAATAACAATTTAATTTATAATTTTGCATCCCAAAGAAAAGACCAATAAAAAATAAAATTACCTTTATTATTCATTTCATGGTGCATTGTGAATGCTTTATTGTTTTTGATGGTGCAAAATGCTATTATTACTTTTTAAGTGTGCAAATGGAATTAAAACTTACATTTATTGATTATATTTAGGGTGAATTATGGTCACCCCTTTGAGGTAAGGTCAAGTTACGAAGAAATCCCTCTTGTTTATTTGCGTAATTACAGTCACCCCTCAACTATGTATTAATCTACACCTTCACCCTTACGTTGACAAATTTACATAGTGGTGTTGTTAAACCGACCGATCGAACGAAAATTCGGTACATGCCAATTACTGAACCGGTAATTCGGTATGATATTCAGTTATATATATATATATATATATATATATATATATATATATATATATATATATATATATATATATATATAAAGTGAAGTATTAGTATTTAAACTAAATTACTTAAGAAAATATTTTTAATAAAATTTCGAATATTGGGTTATTTACCGAATCGTACAATAAACAATATGAAAATTTGGCGTACTGAAATTTCGGTACGATTTTACCGAATGAACATCTCTAAATTCACCAGCTGGAAAGATTTTTTTCGTAAGATAATACATAGTTGAATAGTAACTGTAATTATACAAACAAGAGGGGTTTTTTGTAATTTAACCTTAGTTTAGAGAGTTGGCTGCAATTTTTCCTTAAATTTACTAGAAAGTGTAAATGACTTGAAATATACCGTACATATTATGGGACTTGAATTTATGTGTATTTTTTCAAGGGGATTCGAAGAAACCACATATTTTTTCTTTAATGATTAAATTTATTAAGGGGTTTATTGTAATAGTTTCAAAACATAAAAGGTTATACTTGCAAAACCACAAGTGTCGGGTACAATCAATCAAACTTCAAAAAGTCCGTAATCTATTGAGTAAATTACAACCACCCCTTGATGTATGGTTAAATTACGAAAAGACTCATTATGTTTGGGTGTTTACTACCACCCCTCAACTATAAATTTTCTTACACGTCCACCACTGCGGTGTCGAATTTAGTGAAATCTTCTAGATTATATAGAATATTCTCAATTTTGTACCCGTTTTATCCCATCCGAGCTCCACATTTTGAAGTAAGATGATCATAAGATATGTTTTGACAACATAAGGGTGGACGTGCAAGTTGATTCATAGTTGAAGGGTAGTTGTAATTATTGAAACATGAGGGGTTTTGTCGTAATTTGACCATCATGTTAAGGGTGAATATAATTTTCCCT